ACAACGATACAAAAATAATACAAGACACAGACGTACAATAGAATAACATGTTTAAAAAAAAATTGTAATTGTAAAGTGTATAATACCTTCAGTCGCAGTTGACAAGTCAAAGACAGTATCCACAGTATCAAAGACGGTATGTAACAGATATGGTTCAGCAAAGACTGTTCAAACTTGAATAGAAATCGATAAAACCGGTCTTCCTTAAAAAGGAAGATGTCGTAATGGAACACGGAACAGTTTTTCCACTACGTGAAGATCATCCTTTCGAAGAAAGATACAGTAGGGAAGTGAAGAACGAAGTGCATACGAACACGGATAAAAGTCGACTGTCATCATTTGACTGACTACCTACCTATTACTTGTCTCACGTATATAATTCTAGATATCCCTCTCTCTAAAACTTTACAATTGACATGTGAACATTGTACGAACTGCGCAAATCATGAAATTTACAAAGCTATTGCTCTTGATATAACATAATAATAGTTACTTAGCATTTCTTGATATTGCCTTAGGTAATGGTATGACGTGAAGTAAATTGCTGAAATCGATAACGAAATGTGTCTACTTTTAATGCTATGTATCTTACGTATTTATTTATTTATTTATGCATCTTATGTATTTTTTATTTTAGAATTTAACAAAACTTGATTATATATGCCCGTATACGTGCCATTTTTTTGTTTTATAAATTTTTGTTACATTTAATTTATATAGTTTTTTAATATTGTAAAATTAAAATTTTGCTAGAGTGTCTATTAAAAATACAATAAATTATACTTATATCTTTAAAGCACGATTCTCGAAAATCTCGACAGAGATTTATATAGCTTAATTTTTTACAACTTAAAAATCAAGTTCTGATACAAAAGTATCTATGTATATTGTATAGACTCAAGATAAGAAAGTTAGAAACATTTTATAATCGCTGCAATTCAGGAAACAGAATGTAATGAAGGATATACCCCTATATGTTTTAAAATGGAGAAATAGTTTTTTTTAGGATGCAGTTGTAAGTATAGATATCTAGGTATATGTACTGCGAAAAGCTATACAGTCATTAATGAAATATAGCAGCCATTCTAATGATATGGATCGCCCATATGACAGGCTGCAGTAGCTGCAGACGGAACAGCATGCTTACAGCATGTGGAGGGAATATGCTGGTAACACACTGCACCAAAGCAAGAGACTACGTCTATGATTCGCTCGACACTTTGGCCAGCATCGAACGGTTTGGTGTGCGTTGTCACCAAAACTACATGCTGTAAGCATGCTGTTCCGTCTATAATCAAGTATCACTGCCGTAAGATCGTTAATTTGTAAAAAAACCTGTTTGATTATTATCAGACATCTGAATTATTAATGTTGAACTTTATTATGCCAATTAAAATCATTAAACATAATAATCAATTAGTATAATATTACGTGTAATTAGTTTGCAGCATACATTGTAAACCAAGTTACATAAGAGAACACATAATAAAAAGAAACAATTTATATCGCCTACATTAATGAATTTATGTAGTTTCATAGCTTTATCAATTTTGCAATACAAGTCGTATACAAGTTCGTAATACACCGAGAATGCGTTATTACAGAAATGTTTCCAGGCCAATGATATGAAGGTTACCGCTATCAAGGCCGAATTAAATTGCTACTTATACCTAGCAAAGTTATAGGTAAAGATTTAAACTAGCCTTTACTGATCTATAGACAATCGAGATGTTAGCATATATCGCTTAAGGATACAATAAATTATCTGCATATTTCGATAGCAAATATCCCATCTCGATCAACCTCAAAATTATTTACGTAATTGAGAAAAACTGTTTTTCAAACAATTACCGCAGCAATTTGGTCACGCTAGCCATGTACTTTACATAATGCAATGATTGGATAAAATTTAAATGGCCGTTGTTTAATGGTGAATCATGCACGCAATAAATACAAATATCTTATTATACAAATTTTTATTTAAAAAATTAATAAAAAATACAAAGTATTTTTTCATAACTATATAGGTAAAAACTGACTAATTAGACTAGCAAAGATAAACACAAGTCGGGTAAATTAAGATAACCCTTTATTCATAATTTTGAAACACATTGTATAAGAAATAATTTAAAATAATTTGTTAATAATTATATTCTAAATAATACTTGATTTTAAAAAATACTGGTATTTCAAAAAAATTATAAGTTTGTCACAGAAGTCGGATTGAATATACAAATACAAAGAATACAAATCGAATCCAATTTCTTATAAGACGATTAATTTATTACTCCGAGTTATTCTCTCGCAATCTTATCGGTGTCTATAATATGTGTTTGATTTTGTCGCCAAAAATTACACAACAAATGTTCTTCAGATTCTAAACTAGCAATTTCAGTCATTCTTCCGCTGTTACCTGAGACGTTATTCGTTTGATTAAAGAAATTCATACTCTTGACAACTTCGATTTGGAAAAGGAGATTAACGTTACCAAGTTCACGGTTAAATGTCGATTCAGACACAGCCGTGCTGTACCCGTACCGTAGGTATCCGTACCGTGCACGGACAGAAACATTAAACAAGCATGGAGACAATAAAAATCCTTGTCTATTGTTTCTGTCCGTGCACGATACGGATACGATACGGGTACGGCACGGCTGTGTCTAAATCGACCTTAAAATAATACTTTATACGAGATAACTACGGATTCCTTTATTAGGCAATTGGACATTCGTCATTGTCACTCTAAATTATAGAATATACGTATATAGTAACTTTGCGTGCAGCCAAGTAACTGTAAGGACGCTTTCAATTTTGATAGATTATATCGCGCTCACATTGATCTTGTTATTATAAAAAACTTTTCACTCTTTAAGTGTGTTAATTTTACTCAAGTAAAAACTGAATTATTGCGCAGAGTAAAATTGTTATTATATTGTATAAAATAAGTTTTATGAAACTTCCCCGAGTTCATTTGGAGCTAATGTTTTTCCAGCACCAGCAGATAGACTATCTCTAACTACGCGTCCTTAATTGCTTAATTATTAAAATATATTTTTATAGCCTTGCGTCTGCGGAGTACGAGAATAAATCGGAATTTATTTCTGAAAATCTAATCAATAAGGAGAAATATTTGAATAAAGATTTAAAAGTTAAAAATGATAAAAAAGTAAGTAATATGACAAATGTTTTTTTTTATTGACAAATATTGTCTACCTTTTTGAGTAAAATTTTTGTTATAAGTTGCTCAAATAATAATTGTATTCATTTATTATGCTTAAGGAGGTTCTACAGGTACTCTCTAGTCAGTTGAGAGATGAAGAGAAAATCTTCAAATTCATCGATTCTAAGTATTCATAAAATATTTTCGTGAATTTTGATGACGTTAGAGCTTATATCATATCCATATTAGTCGAAGCGAGGAATAATTAAAAATATCGTGTAAGTGCTCCTTTGACTCTGGCGGCTTATAATGGAAGAAAATGTGGTAACGTCGCGAACTTGACAGTTCTGCTCATATGACCGTGGTTATTTCACAATTTCACATAATTCTAGAGCGAGTACTTCTCCGTAAGCGCTCGTAAACGTTAGGTGCTTAAGTTTGAGGTGCTGTCATACTGTGGTGCTGTACTGGCTGTACACTTTTCACGCGGGTGCAGTCGCTGCGACATTGCCAAATCTCCCTTGTTATTCGAAGCACGCTACGTGAACTGTGATATGGCCTGTTTCAATAGCCAATATCACAAAATTTTACGCGATAACCCTTGTTTTTCTCGATATTTCTGAAAAGCTTAGATTAAGATCTATAAGAGCTCCGTTTTTTGAATCTCTGGTAGGTTGCCTTTATATAATTAATATCTCGTTTCCTGTCTCCAAGAGCCCCTCTGCCATATGTAGCTTATGTTAAAAACTGTGATTTCAAAATTCATTTTTGCAAATTTTTACACGGTAACCGATGCTAAAATTTTTTGAGCACTTTTTTCGCATCTTAATTTATACGTCCATAAAGTTTTTTCCAATTTTTAGATACATCCATTATCTGTAGAACCTCCTTAAAGAAGTAGACAAAATCATTTATTAGTTAAATATTTGTCAGTAAAAAGACAGGAGTCACTTACTTTTTTACCTCCACTTTTACCTGGTATATCTTTTTTTTAGATATTCCACCTTATTGCCAACTAAATATTCCAAAAGATCAACTCTTTTTATATCGATTGCGGTTTAAAAATGTGGATTAGAAATCCGAGGAAGTCAAACAAAAAAGCGTGTAGGGTTTTTTTTAAGACTTAATGAATTAACACGTTCATGTCATCGATGAGTCAGCATAGTGTCCGCATTAAGCAATGACCGACCGGTGAATCAGGGTATCACATGTTAAATATTAGCACGTTTGGAAAAGTTGTATAATTTTATACATTGATATTAAAAAATAAATTTATGTAATATTATTAAAGAAAAAATAAGTAAAATAAAGTCATAAGCGAAGTCGTCGAACGCGAATAAATGCTTTGCCATAATTTTCTACCATTCTCAAGAACGAAAATAACGTTGCTCGTATCGGACTAAATATTTTTTTAGATTAACAAAATTTTTTTCTCATTGTCAGTGTAAGAGACAAAACTTCGAGTTTGATAAAACTTGTAATTCGTGAATAAATTATGTTTAATAAAATCTCGTGTTAGCCTCGAAAATTCGAAATACGCTAATTTTTATTAGAAAGATATATCCATTGAAAAGATAAATAAATACATTTTATTGTAAAATAAAATTTGATATAAATCACTAAAAGTCTAATTTTCGGTTTACTTTTTTTCGTTTAAAAAAAAGAGGATGGTCAATTATGCCAGAACATCTTGCATATAGATGGTTTATTTTTTCTATATTTATGTATTTATTTGTATAATTGCAGAATATTACAGACTATTTTATTAATTTTGTGATATCAAAATACAGATAATATCAAAACACAACGTAGCTGCGTTGAACTACGCTTTCCAGAACTACGCTCTTAGTGCTATGAGCGTGTTCTGTCCTTATTCAACGCTAGACAAGTCGAGCGCTAAGAACATGGTTCTGGAACGCAGTCTATGTAATGTAGAGTCTTTTGTTGCTAGATATATTTACTTATGTTTAATAATTAACCCTTCGTCACCCCCCTGGGACTTTTTGGGCACAAGCGAAATTTTAAGCTCAAATATCTCCGAAATAAAGAGAAAGCGAGATCTAGCTCTCCTCCCTAAAAAAGTTGTTAGTAGTAAGAAAAAAAATAAATTTTTGTAAACATTCAATTGTTATTTAAAAAAACTTTTAACATTTAACTATTGGATAATGTAATAGAGATCCTGAAAAGTAACTCTGAATTTTTTTCAAATTTTTTGAAAGCCTATAATAAAAAAAAAATGGGTTTATACAAAATGGACCCAGAGGGGCAACGAAAGCAGTAAAAATAACGGTGGTGACGGAGGATTAAAAGAGTTATTTGTTATTTGTAATATAAAAGATTTTACAAAATATGTTATAAAACCGGTTAGAATGGGATCATGTAAATATTGTAAATGAAGGCATTGGACTTTTTAATTAGCAGATACGTGGCAAAGATTCTTGAAATTATTATTATTATGTCCTCCCCCTCCCTTATATGTTAAGTGTGCTTAGATGCACAAATATCATTTGAACTAATATTAAAGCATACATATTATTAATGCATGGGTTAAAAACAGATTATAGCCATGCAAGTTTAGTGTAAGCAATTGCTAGTTTAGAAAGATGTTTACGATTGATTATTTCGTCGGAAATGTGTGGCAGTTGTTTCATAAAGTATATATATTGAAGACATCTTGGACCAACAAACGTTTCCGTTATGAATTTTTGCAGCTCCTCTTTCTGTAAAAACTCTACATGTGTACTTGTTCTAAAAACAAATCCGTTTGATTTCACGAGAAATAATTAGTTCTAAACCTGTTCTAATCCTGGTTCTGGCGCAATGAATGTCACTAGACGAAAGTTATCATAATCATGGGACAATGGCACTACGGCAGCTTCGGACACAAACGGATGACTTTGTAATGCAATTTCAATTTCCGCCGGAGAGATGTAGTAATTTCTGTAATTAATAAGCTGCTTGACTCGATCGATTACGAAGACATTTCCATGTTTATCGTAATAGCCTACGTCTTCGCTGCGAAACCATCCTGAAAGACACGAAATTGTGTATTTTTTTGTGCACATAAAGAAACGGATTTGACATGCCATATGTACAAATTGGATCAGAAAATGCATGGAGAAATATTAAATCTCTTACTTTCTCTGTTTTTTGTTTTTACAATAGATAATCGCGCATAAGATTTGTATAATATAAAAAAAAGAAAGGATAAAAACTGACTTTTTTCAGATATATGTATAGCTTATGTTAAATCTAGTAATTATATGACTATAATATGATATAATGACATCAACTCAAGCTTCTGGAAGTTGTCTTACGCATCGCAGTTACAAGAACAATTCGAAGAAGAAATTAACCATTGTCGTCAATAACAATTCTTGTATATCTGCTATCCTTATAATAGCCGTTCATCATGGACGAAGACTGACACCAAATCACACCAATGGTGTACGGACCCACCGGTTCTTTCGTCGCACAATCAGTGATCAACAAACGAACATTTTTAACCAAGCAACCGATAGATCCGATGATGTTCATAGTGCCTCGTTGGTAAGCAATCACACCTGTTTCAGGCAAACCTGAAAAGGTTCAAGAAATGTTGGCTTTAGGCATTCGTGAACTGTGCATTAATCGTTGTTCACAATTCTGATAAATGTACGCACAATACAGTTGAATAATGGAAACATTTGGCAGCGATTTGATAAGACTGATATGAACGTTGTGCTTGATCATCAATCCGCCGAAAATAACCATTTTCAAGGAAGAAGTATCGTATTTCTCGAGGATGTCGAATCTTGACAACCGGTTGCACATATTAGTTTTAAGGTATATCCAAGTCACCTGAAACAGACGCATTTTATATTTCAATTCTTTATTATAATAAATACATAAATTACAATTCTTACAGCAATATTGTTAAAATATAAGAAAAGAATATTTCTCTATGGTACCTTATACCTCCGTATTATTTGACATAAATGATGCTCCTCGAGAAATCCTGGGGATTTGATCACTTTTACTCCCATAAGTATAGCACGAACAGTCAAAAGCAAGCTGATAATCCAGTCCAAGGATTCGAACCATAAGCCGACGTCGTTGTTCGAATTCATAATGGGAATCTGGTTCGATGAATTTAGAAAAAATTTATAAGGAACTTCTACGTCTTTGAGAAAGCCAGTTGTACCACAAGATAAAAGTATTATTGCGGGGTCTTTAATATTCATTTTTACACAGAAGAATCGGTTAATATCGAGTCGATTAAATTTCTTCTGCAAAATTAATTCGAAAGACTCAAACTCGTCAAATGCATCGCCGAAAACTACGATTTTTGTAGAAACGTTCATTTTCACCACGGCAGCTTGAATCATTCTTACATTGTCACAGTCAACAAAGATTACCTTTGGAGTAACCCGCGTCAAAAAATATTCCGCATTCGCTATAAATATTTATGTTGAATAAATTAGAAAGCATATAGATACATAACTGCGACGAACAATGTCGAAATTCAGAAAAAAAAATATCATCTTACATCTTATCCCTTTTTTTCGTTTAGGCCATGGATTCACAATAGCGCCGATATACAGTGCCGCTAAATATGGTACATAAGCCTCCAGTTGGTTATGCGTACACACTGTTATTACGTCGCCGGATTTCACTTTCAATTTTCTCAGCCATAATGCGCATTTTACGCTTCTCTCTTTCATTTGTTCGAATGTACTTGTTTTCCCCGTCGCCGCATCAATCTGCAAAATATATTAATCTCATATTCCTATTAAATATGTCCTGTTTAGTAAGATCACGTTAATTCGACGTTATTAATAAATGCTTTCTCCGTGTGTTGTGTCTTATGGAATTTTATTTAAATTTTATTGAAGTTATTATGTATTACCTGGCCGATGAAATTCGGTCTTCTCGAAAATTTCATCAAAATTTCATTTCCGATACTGATATGCTCGTTATAAATCGGTTCTTTTGTGTCTATTAATCCTCTATTTCTTTTCTTGAATGGAAGTGTTTTCTTAAAAACAATAATGTACATCAGTAATGTTATTAGAATAATGTATGCATCTTTACGAAAACTTTGGACACTAAATGTATATTTTTTACCTCAATCTTGTAATTGGCACTCATACCGTTGAATATTTAATATATCTGTATTATAGTTCAATAGATTCTGAGATCAGAAGTAATACTATCCGATTGTTACAATAAATGCCGCATGACTAACCTTTCACTTTTATCGACTGTTATGATGTGAAATACCCTTCAGTCAAGAATTTAACTGAAAATATTTTGGTCAGAACCGCTATTGGGCTTGTTATGATTTTGAGCGAAACCTCTTCGCATGTATATTCTATTAATTTAATAATATTGTATCAATTTTTAAAATTTTTATTTTGTTTATTTATTAATTATTTATATTGTTAATTAATTTTACAGATTAAGTTTTGTAGAGAATATTACGTATAAATATAAGGATATTTATTTAATTTATAAAACAACGTATCGATCGATATTATTAAATTAATTTTGTACAAACAAACAAGGAAATGCAAAGACAATATTTTTATATATAAATTAAAATGCTTACACCTCGATACAGCATGTCACATAATAAAATATTATTTTCGATTATTATCAATCATCGTGAATTATATCTTTTGTGGTCTTCTTATCTCTTTCGTTAACTTCAACAGTTTCTTTTTTTCAAAAATTTAATTTTAGAAGAATTGGTAATGTATGTTCATTCATCAAGAATGCGTCGCTTGTCTAATAAATACATGTCAGTTGGATGAAGAAACTCAGAATTCATTTAATTTATAATTAATCCGGCCGTCTGAAGCAATTTTTACGAATCAAAAAAATAAAACTCACGTCACAATAATTTTAATTTTTTTATTTCACCTTACTTTCTTTTAGAAAATATTGAGTAAATCTATATATTATCTTTAAATATCTACTAATAAATTATAGAATAATAAAAAATATGCAATATGTAATTAATACCACTGATTTTTAATTAGTGTGTAAAAATCACTTCAGGTGACCATTTATGCAAAAAAAAAATTAGTTGTCCGTTCCCGGCTTAACAAATTTTCTGTTACAACCTACTACCTAGCTTTGTGCCACTCGAGAAATCGTTGATTGTTTTTCAATAAATTCTTTCTTCTCTCACGTTCCCGTCGAACGGCGATATTTCGACATTCAACTTCCTTGTTTCGCTTTATTTTCATGGACAGCAATTCTTCTTTTAGCTGTAACGCGAAGAATTCAGTTTCTCTTTCTCTCAGATTTGTAAAATTTATCTTGCCTGACAGCAAATTAATATTAAATGGACCTCAGTTAAAGACATTTCACATAGAAGTCCTAGTCGACCTAGACCACTCGATTCCGTGGGATTGTAACTTTTTATTTGTCTCGATCGCAACGTTTGAATTGCTTTGATTCCTTGAATCAGATGAATCTTTTTTTGAACGTCTTCGTCCTTCTGCTTAGATAGTATTAACTTCAGTTGGCGGGATTCCTCGTTAATCTCGGCAGCTTTTGCAAATTTATTTATTTGCTTATTTCAGATATCTTTCATACATACATTAATATTAGAAAATGACATTGATACCTCTCTTCCGTTTCTCATCTACCATTGAATTGAGAGCCTCGCGAGTAGCTTGTTTCATCGCGTGACATCTCTCGATTATCTTTGCCGCTTCTGTACTTTGATCTCGTCTCAAGTTTTCTAGTTTTTTATACAATTCTTTTTTCTTCATAGCGAAGATAATTATTATCTCAGTTTTTGTAAATTAACAATTTACATGTTACATAAATATGCATATAAAAATTAATATTTATGATTTATGTAGACGCTATATATAGATATGCGTGTATCAGCAAAGCAAATAATTATTTGTTACATAACGGCTATAAGTGTTATACGAACGAATAATTTGTATGTAAGAAAATTGAGATTCTATGTAAGTGACGTGAGCGGACGTTGACAATGTAATTACGGCGATTGACGTTTCGTGCAGCATGAACGATGCGCAAAACACGCTGCGACATTTATCACCATCCTCTTTTTTCCGATTATTATAGATTACATTTTGTAAATATCTAATTTGACATTTGCCTGTTAGAATGCAATATCACCTCTTTTCGCATTCTCTCCGCCTGCACCTTGATATCGCTTATCGACAACTGCTTGGCAAGAATAGCATCTTCTCGCGACAGTAACGCACTTGAATGCTTCTCTTGCATCCTCCGCATCTCTCGCATCCGTTCCTCCTGCTTTTTCTGAACCTCGAGTCTCGATATCATCGACGGATCGCTTCCACCCTCTGCTAACTGCCGTACTCTGATATTTCAAAGATCAAAAAATTTGCAAACGATTTTAATATTACAAATGTGTATATGGCAATGTTATGTGGGACAAACTATAAGCGATAAATATCTTGAAAATACATTTTGACCTCCTTGCATCTGTCATTTGTGACTCGCGCGCATTCTCTTAGAACGGATGAGAACGTGTGCCTAACTTCCACCGGCTGAGAAATAATACGATGGTATGATTAATCGCGAGGCACGGCAGTCGTATGCCGTTGAATTAAAAGCACGCACTTTGATGACTGGCGACGACTTTCCTGCACAATGCTCTGCAAGCACTCGCTTTTGATTCGATTTTCTGATCAGACCTTTAGGATCCTGAGAACAGCTCCATGCATTTTTATCGGCGTTATTTATTAGATTCGCAGCTTGCAACTTGTTAATCGTTTGATAGGCAACCAGTCTCTCTTTTACATCTGATTCAGGTTTTGTTTTAGACGTAATTTTATGAGTAGTCCAGTCCTAGCAGGGATACGAAAAATCTTTAAATAGATCTTGAAGACATATTTTTCGTGTCGCTTTTTAATTTATAAACCGAGAATCACGAAAGTTCGTGTGCTTTATATGAAACATGAGAGAATTCGCGATTGACATAAAAAAAAAGCAGTTGAATTATAACGCTCTATTGATAATATAATTCAACTTTATGGAAATATAATGTTATTTAAATTCAAATTGAAGACAGTTTTGCAATTTTTTTATTTAATGATACTTATATGTAAGAACGATCGGAAATACTTAAAAGAAATTTGCAGCAGTTTTTACGAGAACTTAAATCGTTTTAAAACAATTCATTTAATCTCAGAAAATAAATATAATTTACCTACTTAGTTGACATTTTTGAATTTATAATTTTCACAAAGACAATTATTTTTCACAGTTATTTCCATATCTCTGAATACTTTTTAGATGATCCTACGTATATCATATGTAGTACATGCACATTACGATTATACTTTACTTATTCGAGTTGATAAAAAAATATTTCAAATTATTTGCTCTTACCATTTTGAGAATTACTTTTATCCTTAAAAAGAAATAATCCTTTTTGCCATGCTATGTAGAACCCAACCTTCAAACATGGCCTTGCTGTCAAAAATAGATCGATAATTTACATTTCATAACTTTCCTCAAACATTATGCAACTGTTTCTAATTATGTTTCTAACTATATATATTATACTTTATTCTATGTTATTTTAGAGTGCATTTACGTTGAAGATAATTGTGTCAATTTTCTCAGAGAAGCAACGAGAGAGATCTACGAAATTGTTTGATGTGGAAACACATGGTACATGAATAGACAATTCGTTGTGCCACATGTTTATTGATATCTCTTTCTATTCCATCAGCCTCAGCATCTCGCTGAGAGAAACACGTCTTATACGCTGCTGTTAAATATATTAAGGAAAGAAGATATATACTTTAATATTAGTTTCCCTGAGTGGGCTTTGTACTTCGGTAATACGGGACGCGATAACGTTGTGTACCGCTCATATATATAGTCAATTGATATTCATAACGTCTTATCGTTAATGAGTATTTCCCTCGTTCCAACTTTAATTAATACTGCACAGATACACACTACTTACGTAGAGATGGAAAATCGATTTAAATCTCAATTGAGAGATCTGGGTTTTCCTATGAGAAACATATCGCGACGTCGGCGATTGATATCGTTCTTTTTCTTGTCGACACAATTAACTTATAATAAATTAACTGTTCGTATAATATATTGATGGGATTTGGAAATTTACGAAAAATCCTCGCCAAATCTTCGAATAGTAAGGGGGAATTAATTACCTCAATTGATATAGGGTATCGAAATTTTACATAGTCTATGATTCATTTTTTAAGATATTGTGTTTGATGTTCATTGTGTTTCGTATCATAAGCGTCGCTACGAATATATAAAAAGTTTAACAATAAAGTAAGACTACGATGTAATATACAATTAAAGATCGTTCGGTTCTTTTTGCTCACTGTCTCTTATAAATATCAATCACGTGGAGAGATAGTTTCACCTATATTAGTTTAATCGATCTATTCTCTCTCTTTCTTTTTTTTTCTCTCTTTAGATTTATATTATATCTATAAGATAGAGAAAAAAAGTTTTTTAAGTAATAACGTTTAATCCATATGTTGGTGAAACTAACTCTGATGTATACATAAATAAATAAAACGTTACGCTGCTGTTATATAATACTCGGTTGCAATTACAAATAAAACCATTTAGACAAAGTATGTCCTCGTCACGAATGGTTTTATCTTTCGAATAAGAGATAATACAATTTCCAGATATTTGAGATATGCAGTTTTCTTTGCAGTAACATGCAGTATCGAAAACAGTTTTAGAATTTTTTAGAATTGTTTTTAGAATTAATTTAGAATTAATTTAGAGTTAGAGTTAGTTAATTTATTGTAGATATTAATTAACCAACATTTTTTCTAACAAGATTTGTTTTCAAAAAAATTGTAACGGTAATTAGCATAAATATGTTTTTCTAAACATAAATAAATATGTTTTTCTAATTCATCATTATCATTTCAATTATTAGATACTACGATCTCATTAGTTAACAATCCGTGTTCTATTTCTATAGAATTAAAGCAAATACAATTCGCTAACAATAAATCAAATTCATTGATGTAAAAGAATGACAAGTACCAATCAAAAATATCGAGTATTTATCGATCTGCATCGCTGATGCAAGAATCATATTTATTCATGTTTTCGTCTTGCATCATATAGATTATTGTGTTGTACTTCAATTCGTTATTACGAGTGAAAGCCCAAATTAATCCGCGTAAATTCATTGAACGCATAATAATGTACGATCCAAACAACGCAAAACTCAAGAGACTTGCGTTGTCTGAACAATTATTATTAACAATCACTGGTGTCCACAACCTACTTGCACCTTATCAGCTACTTCTATTGATATATCACACATAAATTATTATAATAATAATAAACGATATATCGTCACGATCGTCACGTTAAAATGGCTAATGTCGAGTGAGGCGGTCAATGTCTACGAGCATGCAGAATTTGGAAGTGCGCGCGGAAATACCGTAGATGTCATGGTCCATTAAACTCGCGCGCGCGCGCGTTTACGAGAGAGAAATTAAGAATAATTTGTACAGAGCGCCTGTGGAGCGCGTTTAATTTAATTGCTGAACGACTTGATGATCGCCGTCATGCTCTCGTACGTTCCGGTGGCGAAGCCCAGTACACCGATCAACACTATCATCACATCCTTTGCGATCGTGAAGAAACCGAGGCTGGTGTTGTGCCAACAGACGATCATCTCGATAATCGGCGGAAACACGAGAGCAAGGGCGGTGCTACTGACCGCACCGACCAGGGATATGAAGAGACCCAATTGTGGTACCGCTTCTGCCAGGATAACTGGAAGAACAATCGATATTAAATTATCACGTGTACATCAACAAGCTGCAAGCTATTTATTCCGCATCAAAGTTATATATATTTATAATTTTAGATAAGCTTTTTATTCTGTGCATAGAAGTATTTCGTTGTAAAGATATAAAAATATTGTCAAAATTTATAATTTGAGAGATATAAGTTTGACGAAGAAGGTAATGTAAACAAAAGTAAGTTTGTGATGTAAATAATATAATTTAATAAAACTCTCCCGATGTAAATTGTACTTACATGTGATGAAGCACATGACGGATCGGAAAACGATTTCCGCAAACACTGGCCGTTTAAATGGACCGAATCTGTCAACGATGGCGGGCCACATTATTGCGATCGGGACGTAAAACTGCAACGCGTAGGTAAGCAATATGCTCAAAGAGATGGCGGTCTTGATGCATTGAGGCAAGCTGCAGAAAAATTCAATCTGTTAGTCGAAGAAAGATCGCTCGTTATATCTTTCGTAAATAGAAAAAAAAATCATGTGCAATTCAGTTCGATGATTAATAATTAAAACATGCACGAAGCGCACACATTATTTATGTTAAATTTTCGCGAAGTCACGAAGCTATCTCTAATATTTATCACAGGACACAGCAAACGTTTAGGTAAAAACCTTAATTGACTGATGATTTCCCCGTCCATCCTTGGAATACAGAAAAAAAATGTTAAGATAATCGTTCGACAATCAGGCTAACACGACAAGATAAGTTATAAACGATATGCACACAAAGTGTAATTAGCTTCGATACTTACATTTCCTCTGGCGCAAGATTGAGCGTGACCGAACCAGCAACCGCGTCACCGTACTTCAGATAAGACAGGAAACCGATTGCGACGAACATAGTGCCGACTATCACCATACCGACATTGAGAACACCTAATGGCTTGTTAAAGTTGCGAGGTTTCTTCATTTCATTCTTCAGTGGCAGTACCTGTAAATTGTCAGAAGTGTCAGAAGAATAATTAACATAGAACGTATACTGTAACGCCAATTTTTGTTCTTATCAACTATATTAACAAAAACAGTATTTGTACTTACTAGAGTAATACCCTCGAAGGAATATATCACAGTACCAAAGAACAGAGGTAGGTTGTTCCAATCCGCGACGTATCTTCTCTCGTGTATGGACGGTACGTCGTGGCTCATGATGTACATAGTGGCAATATAACCAGCGATCATTAGGAAATTCGCTATCGAGGACACCGGTACCAAATACTTGAGATTTCTAATCCAAGTACTAAGCATTATGGGAACCAATACCACGGCCATGTGCTCGTAAACCTCCATCTCGATTCCGTGCGCGTCCAGTACCTATCGCGAAAAATAAAACAAAATTTTTAATATTTATTAATAATCTTTATTTATTGCTAAGATAAAGTATAAAGATTAGATTAAAATATCTTTTTTATCTTTCCCATAACAATTTATTATTAATTATATGCGGTAAAGATAATGTTATCTATCGTGAGCAATTTTGGGGGAACTTCATTTTTCTTGCAATACAAAAAGAAACAGGCATACGGCAAACAAAGCATTAAAATCCAAAAAGCTAAGATGGAGTCGGTGAAAAATGCTTTACCTGCTTCATGTTCGAAGAAATGAAAACGAAATATACGCAGCAGAATCCGAGTTGCGTGACACATAAAAACACATTAACCAACTTTCTGCAACAAAATCACAAGAGAGCAACATAAATAACATGCACCTTTGGCGACGCGGTAATGTGAAAGAAATTATAAAAAATAATCAAAAGACGTGTAAAAAGTAAACTAAAAAATAGGCATACGAGTAGCGTTCATGTGGATTAAAAAGTGTGTATATAAGTGAGGATCAAAACGATTGTGACATTGCGTGAGCTTGTGTTCCTTATTATTCCGTATTTCCTGGCTTCGCCATACTTCTATCACGCACCTCATAAAAGTCGAATATTTACGAAATCCAATGGGACCGGTAGCAAAGCACATCTCCACAGTTCCAGCAAATCCATTCGCGTAGATGCCATCGCCAACGCGACGTGTCACCTCCTCGTTACATTTAATCTGCAAAAGATATTAGTATCAAAAGCGTAAGGCTCCTGTAATTTCATCAGAGTTATATTTTATTACGAAAAATATTATTAATTTCCTATATTTAATATTTCTCAGATAAGAGAGTCATATATTATTTCCTATTTTATTTATATAATTGATGATTATTAATTAATTGCACGTACGAGAATGTGTTGAGCGTGCACGCAAATGATACCAAGGAAGATCGTCAGCGGGGGTCCCAGTAGTAATCCGGCGTTCTTGAAAGCATCTCCCAACGCGAAAATTCCCGAACCGACGTTACCCTTGAACAGATGCATCATGGTTTCCAGGTACCTGCAGTTCGTTAGTGCGTTCTATTTATTCTCGCCTCGGCGTGATATTCGACGGTGACAGGGTAAATCAAGATTAATCATCGGATATAAGCGGGATTCTAGTCAATAGAGAGATTACATAACTATGAATCAAAATATGAACATGAATGTTTGATAAGCATTCCAAATATGCCAAGAAAAGATCATGATTTGCGAGAATTTTTTGGGTTTTGCCAGTCATGGATTTTGTTCGATTTTGCTCGCTTAGATTTATTAAATACGTCTCTTTAATTATATACAAATCAATTTGAGCATATACTGTTCAGTAGTTTAAATATATCAAAAAACAATTTCTCAAGGATATATAGATTGCAATTCGACAGTATATTAATGTAAACACGCTCTATACATATGTGCAATTAGAAAACAATTGGCCGTACCGAAGTGTGACCGTACGCACTTGTGTGCGACACGGAACCTATTCATTCCATATGCCACCACATGTTACCGAAACCAGTTCCTGATACATCACTGTGGTAGATTGTATCTGTATAGATATTTGTTCTGTGCGTGAGGACTAGAGAACCGTCCAAAAGTTTTCCCGTAACCATAAGAAGATGTTTTCGCATTTACTTTTAGAATACAAAATGTTGAATCGTATTGTCGCGAGACAACTTATACCTGAATTTTCATGATTTTATCAATATCTTTCATAAATGCTTTTATAAATACGAATAACTCTACTGCGATATATGAAATATCTAAACAAAAATATCAGTACAGAGATTATAAATATATAAATCTCGAATTATATTTCGAAACGTACTACCTTTGTCGTAAATTTTATTCATAAATAAAACTGTTTTTGAAATAAAATTAAAATTAAAATAAATCATATCAATTTAAATTTAAGAAGTCATATTTTTTTGAAAGTTTCTTAGCTGCGTTTATGCAATTCGCAATCCCTAATAACAATAAAGCAATAAATAATTAGCTAAATATGATTATTGACGCAAATTGATGCATTTATTTCGCTATCATTTTTGCAGTACGGTTAAAAGACACATTTTCTCCGCAATTCGGTTATACCAATGCATTTATGTATGTGCAAACGTATTTCTGTAGCTGAGAACGCTAGAAAATTGTAACAAAAATTTTAACCGATGTCAAAATAACGTAACATTCTGACAAAACGTGATTCTTCCCGGAAAAAATAGCTATGAGTTTGCACGGAAATACAGTAAATTCGGTTTTTAACGGACTATGAGTAATCAGGTAATATAATACTCGCTTCCGTCTTTTTGAAATCATACGCTTCGCGATGATCACGTGCCGTATCACTCTTATCGTGTGCAATATTTGTTTGTTTCTCCAGATTTGTTTACTGTTAAGGTGTGTAACATTATTTTCATCGCTCGTGCATGACACGCACTAAATGTTCTGTTTCTGTTAATGCAACCTTCATCAATGTCTAATGTTTTTAATCAACGTCAATCTATATCGTTTTGCTGTCGATCTATTGCCGGTATTCATAGTTGGATCTTATATTTAAGATTGTCTTAAGTCTGGTCAAAGACAGTCTTAAAGCTGGACTCCATCCAGCCAATGAAATGACCGTATTAGCATCTTAAGACATTACTTAAGACGGTCTTGAAATAAGATCCAACTATGAATACCGGCTTATTTGTGTTTGTGGTTATTAAAATTTTGCTGCTTTGTTAATGCCAATTAAACTTACGAGGTGGGGTGGTGCACGGTGATACCGTGCTCATTACTTCTTCCCTTGATGGCATCGCCACCTTTCTCCATCGCCAAAATGGGATCTTTCGATTGGAATGCTCCATAGGTCCCGCTATTTCTGTAATAAAAAAAAATGTGCAAACAGAGATTAGTATTATGACATAATAAATTGTCACGGATGCCAGAACTATTTTGTTATTATAAAAAAATTCTATCTAATTGTCCAGGATGGAGGAAGTGGTCACAATTAAGTTAATTGTCGCCGTGTACGTACAGCTAACGATGGACCGTGATATTTCACGGGGCTTATTCCATGTACAATGTACTAATCGCCGGATATGTACGCGCGCATGCTGTAATTTTCAAGCGAGATGATCGAATTTTCACAATTAACGTTAACTGCGACGTGAGACTGACGCAGATAGATAAACGTATAGCGAGATAATATTTTTCTAACGAGCTTCGGTAGAGACATGATTGTCATAATCATGCCAATAGAACAATACGACATTCTTGGCAACAATCTGACACCTGAAATAGCATGTCTATAAATTTAAGGCAGATATTCGTCCCGACGTTTATCGATTGTTTCCGTATTGTTCTGGCATCTTATTTCGAGGTGCTATAAATTATTACGACTCGAACTTGTAAGCGATATGTTTGTATTTATAAATAGAAGCAAACTAAATAAGAGTAATCGGTAGTAATTATTAGGTACTGATAACAATTGGTCTTCGTAAAACTAAGAAAATTTTTAAACCCGTTTGTCACAGGACGTGGTAACACAGGATCGTAACATTGTTTAATGATCGTCCACGTAATTATGCAACTCAGCGAGTGATTAAGTTAGCTCCAACGAAGTAATTAAATCACATTCCTCATATGGCGCGTTCAATCAGAATTAGCAGTGTCGCGCACTTGCGACTGCACTAATCTTCATGCAATTACTGTCCGTCACAGCGTCTCGTATTAATCAACTTTTAAATTATTGATTACATAATGCTTCTTTACGAACAAAGTTCATTAATATGAAACATCTTCAGTAAAATAAACTTATAATAGCTTTATCGGATATTGATATCGGAAACAACATCAACAGATTATTTATTAAAGAGAGAGAATCTGTTTTACATTCCCGATCGTTTATGTTAAGATAAACTTACCCAAGTGGCTGCTTGAGAGTTGTATCATCGCCGTGAATGGAGTTCTTCGGCGAAATCGGGGAAACCGGATTGCTGTTCATTTCCATCTGTAAAATAATTAGACAGTGAAAACACATTTTCGAATTACATTTCGAGCTAACATGCTCAAAGCATATGTAGTAATGTATGTATATTAGCCTATATTGTCCATGTTTTATAAAACATACGTATGAAAATTTTTTACTGATTTGGACCTACAATTAAGCACTTTAACATTTTGATTAGTGCCTCTTAAGTGAAAATTATCTTTGCGTAACTGAATATCGACAAAACTAATTGAGAGAATTGACTAGTATAACTTAAAAATCTTTGAAATAGATAAAATAGCTAATTACGATTTCTAGTTACGCGGTGTTATTTCTAGTCCAAATACATAAAATTAGAGGGGGAGGGGGTTATGATATACAAATAATTTGATTACTATAATCGTGAGCCCCAAATTTTTCCCAGAGTATATATACACAGAGAATATCTAAAGAAATACTAAAGTATATATAGAACAGTGCGCCTCTCGAGACTCTATTTTCGCGCGCGGCTCTATTCGCGAGCCCAAAACTCTGAACTCGCGCTTTTCGTAACGACACGTACGTCAGAAAGTCCTTTGTTCAATCGTCTAGACGTGTTACGACAACATGATGAATGAAACGCGTATGTATGTACATGTACGGATCAGTCCGGCGCCAAGTATGCGGACTGTCATCGGCACGAATAAGCGTCGGCTCGATTATTTTTACACACTTTTACAGTACATTATTTTCTTTTTTCTCGCTGGAAACCGGACTGTAACGATAGATCAAAGATCCTCAGTATTATTCCGTTATTAACAACATATTGTCGTCCGTCAATTGAACGCGCCTTGCACGCTTCCGTATTGATTGGCTTCTTAATTAATCCGTAGCGTGCACAGCATTTAATCCCATATGGGATCAATATAATTTAAAATACTAAATGAGAAAAAAAAGGAAAAGAAAAAAATACTCGCTTGCGAGTACGTGTGAGAAACGTGACGAGTCTAGCTTGACAATAGTTGTGAGTTGTGACTATACATTTATGTATACATGTATACAAATCGTTACAATCGTTGATTTTTCATTTTCCTTTTATTTTTTATTTTTCTAGTTAATTGGGTAGTGAGATAATTGACATGCCAGACATAAATAAACCGATCAGCCTCATAATCGAAGTATTTACTTTGAATATTACTTCAACGTTTTTATTTATAAATTATACGCAGCTAAAATAAATAGCGCAGTGTGCTTATTCGTAATAAATTCTTCGGTTAATTTATCTCCAATACGATTAAATGAGTGTACATCTGTTTATATATATAAATGAATCATCGATCTGTAATTCGATGCTTTTCCACCTTTCTTTTATCGGCAAGATAGAAATAAGAATAAAATTTTTGGGAAAAACAAAGGTTTTATCGATGCTATGTAGTCTCTGTTACATGATAAAAGCGAACAGCGAGTGGTACCCCTCCGACGAAGAGAGAACTTCGTAACGCGGAAGTGTACAATCGTCATCAGGCGGTGTTTCTTCAGGCGAAATAAAAAGAGACGACCTTATATATTAATTGTCATGTAAAACGCGCATGTAATCATTTCCTGCGCCACTTACCTTTAATAGTGTAAATGATCTAAATCGAGATATCCTCCAGGTTACAGCCTGAGAAGCTATTATATAATTAATGTAAACCCCGTGTGCTATGTAGAAACACTGAATTGTCACCCGGCGCAAGTGGAACAACACGAAATATTTATGGCACCTTTACTGACGTGAGAAAAAAATAACTGCAACTTTATAAAAATACGGCCGATAAGACAAACGATAAGACAAATGGCGAATATTACAATGGCGCAATTACTTTTTTGACATAGCTTCTCAAGGAGAAAAATGAAAATGTCAATTTCATATCATACTGATAAAAAAATGACGTAAATTTAGTCAAATTGGCGTTATTTTAACTTTCTGTTCTCTTTGAGTTCTGACATCGACAACATACCGTGCAGAAGAATAGATAACGCCGATAAATAATGCGCCTAGAATTGCAAACCTCGTCAATGCTGCAATCATTAGTGCCACTTGCACAACAGAAAAAGCATTTAGTCATGATGGAATGTAAAAATATGGTCTGTAAAATGTCATATTCATTAACCATATGAAAGAAAATATAACTGTCTGCGCTAGATAATATTCTCGTGTATGTAACGTGTAATCTATTATCGCTTCTCATGCTAATAGATCACGAATCGTGACCCTTAACCAGATCCAAGCGCCTCAGCCTACAGAAGTAGCATATAGACGGTTTTGCTCATTAAGCAGATAACTTAAATTAAAATTCCAGAAAGGCGAGCGTAAATAACAGATGTTGAAGTTGACGCGGACTCGAAGTTATAGTGCAAGTTATAGTCTAAATTGGACACGGCATTGCAGAAATAAAATAATACGACCCAGTATGCGAACTTGCGAAGTCGAGTTTCATTATATTTTTTCGTTTATTTATATTTGTATTATTTTATTTATTTACATTTAATATGTAATAAATACGTGTTTCACGCGTGTACACGACAAATATATTTCCATTTATCACGTTGTTTTAATATTTTATGTTTCCTTTCAAAGTATAATGTACCATATTGAATCATATGTCGATATTATTTTGCATGTTCATATAATGATTCATTTTAGCGATATAGTTTATCACTGTCTCACTGAGTGATTGCGGTATGTGGACTTCGTAATTTCGGAACGAAGGCAACAGGCGTGACAGTACGATTTTTCTGAAAGTTAATACTCCGTTTAAAATCCCTTTTACAACTACCTACAGTGGCATATCTAAAGTGTATATTACGTATTTGAGCTAGTTTTATTACTTCCGGTTAATTTGACGCTCTTATATAGACATTACTTTCGTTTAATTCGGCGCTCATGTGGAAACAAACGTGAGGATAGCAAGCAAAATTATGCTCATATTAAAATTTATGACTACGTTTGTAATAAATTTAAGTACTTTAAACACTGTTATATAAATTGTATATTAAGATAACCTCACATTTGTATCATCATTTCCATTTCTTTTGAATTAAAATTTGACTAAACACAAGTCTGATTGGAGAGATTTTCATGTGCAAATAATCGATCAAAATCTAAATCAATTTAAGTAAACAGATAAATTTTATCGAGAGATATGTGCTGTGTCAAGAAAACAAAATAACAATTAAAATATAATCGTCGATATATCATTATAATAAATTGTGCGTTCTCAGAAGAGAAGGCACGATTTATTATAATAATAATACCAGTGAAAGAGAATAAGATGATGTGACATTCGTCGAAAATTTGTATTCCACCTTTTTGTTGCAAGCTAATCATACAATCGTACGGTAAACACGTTGACAATGTACTTATCCAGTTAGTCAACTTAATGTAATCACTGTAATTACTGTCGTAATTCGTCAAAGAGCTTTTTTTAACGTGTCGACGACACGTGTGATTATTTCGATCAGAGAGATGAGGAGTAGCGTCATGCAGGCTAATATTATTCAGATTCAATTAATCGAATCTCTTAAATCACGATGACGGGAGGTAATTACGTTTGGAATCGCCCACAGTATTTGGATTCCCGTTAATCGTATGTGGACTCATGAACACGTTTGTGCTTCTACGATTTCACGGTAAGTAAACGATCGAACAGATAGCACGAGCAGCCGCTAAAGCTCAAACGACCTAAATCACTGTCACGTGTCTCGCTCGAGGAAATTGCAGCGCCTGCATTAACCGACGCGAATTCGCTTTTTGGCAATGTTACCGCTGCCAGCGACGATACCACCAAAATAGAAGCGTTCACCGGCGCTCTTTTAGTCCCCAGTCACGTGCACTTTTATCAAACGCGAACCGTGATTGCGTCAAAATGTCAATAAGCATTCGACGTTTCTGCTTTCTTTCTACTGAAAAGAAGTATAGAGAATTTCTGAAAGAAACGCTCGAGAAAAAATTCCTTGTACCTTCCGAGTGATAGTATAGCGATCGTAAAACTTGATATGTCATTAAAAGTCATAACATTCGAGTCGCGATTAAGAGATGATCGTGCTTCTGTTTAGACTGTCAAATATGATTAGATAATTACTCAGAATAACTGATAAAGAGATATTACGCGAGGAATTGATACACCTGCGTTTCGAAGAATTTTTGAGAAATAGAGCAGTTTCGGAAGATAAACATGTCTAAAATTAACTTGAATTTACTCCCGAATAGCTCGGAAGAACAGACATGACTTAAGACGAAGAGCTTACAGGAAGTAATTATCTTTATGAATACATATCTCAGACATGGAACGACGAGCATTCGTTTCTGTTTTGATGTCTAGTATTTCAGAGATAGTGCGCGAGTTCTGGGACACGCGGTATATGTACGAATGTGTATAGATATCGCTCGGAGAGAAGGCAATTCGCGCGCAGTCAATATGAAACCGCGATCAAAATGTCGAATCATCAAACGATAAGCTGACATCATTTTCGCGACCACTCATACGTCCCTATAAGTATTCCTCGCCTATAGCTTTATAAAAAAAAATTCGACCGCGTAACGCAATAAATGAAGCTCACTTTCACTCGCGTTCACTTCTCCAATAGCTGAAAATGAAGGCATTGAAGTAGGTAAAGGCATCGTTCACGTAACGTGAACAATTTAGCGAAATTACGACAAATTGCAAAAACAGGATGCTTAAATTCCTATTCAATAAAAATTATTCTAGTCTCGGTTATCCTCGATTTTCATTCCTTCCTATACAAATTTGATGCATGCATTGCAATAATCGCAATTCACCGCAATCACCAATTGAAATTGTTGCACTTGCTATCCTTGAAATGCGTTACCAGGAAAAATGTTCTTTTTCTGTCAGCGTATTAATATTTACTAAGGTGTATTGAAGTATATTACGTGATGCAATACATAATTGTATCATGTGATGTATACGTGAAACATACAGGTTTCAATGCTTAAAGGACATTCGACACAAACTACTATTCCGTGAATTTTCACCTCGCTACATTGGTATACACGAGCCTCGCAGAAGCCAAGCTGTACAACTTTGTGAAACAGTGAGTAGAGAAAATTGATGACGTTATAGATACACGTGCTTTAATTGGTATTAGAATTAATAAATTTATGAAAACCGCAATTGATTGATTAGATTAGTTTCTGAGAAATTCATATCTTTGTATACGTAAAACCGCATTATGCAATATCACGTTGCGCTTTATACCAATCGAATCGTATTTGTATTCCAAATAACGATATTTCGGCGCTAAGCTTAGTGCGTCATTAAATGCAATTTTGGCACTTGCCAGAAAATCATGTCGCGCGCTTGACGCAGTTAAAAACAATGTGATCTTGATGGTAAAACCTTCGGGGAGATAAATGAATGTATTTGCAGTTAAAGCTAACTGCCCGAATAAAACTTATCTCCATGTGAATGGCATGGTAAATATTGTCGCAAAAAACAATGTCGACACAAGTGTAAATGTTCGAAAAAATTACGCATGTTTGCAGGTGACAGTCGATGATGCCCACCGCCAAAATAAATTTTACCACACGGCTAGGAAAATTCGAGTACAGAACGATAATGATAAGAATTGAACAAAATTGTACATTAAAAAGATAACAGAAGTAAATAAATGCAAGTGACCATTCAATATAAAATTCATACTTTTGGCAAAATTTACAAACACAAAAATAAAATTTCCAATCTTTAAACAAAATAAACTCCTACTGTTATTTTACTTATGCAACGTAATTTTACCTAATTGAAGTATAAAACTATTTTCTGTCTTATTTGCTATCTATTAATCCTACTAATCTTATCTGATCTTGCTTAAATTAGTTTTCATCTTAATTCAAACTTAATTTTTTATTATCTGACGTACATAGATGCACATGCAATAGGTAATAAAACTATAAATAGATTATTTTAATTACTAAATGTAATTGTTTAAAACTTTTAAGCTTCTCTACGTCTGCGTGAATTATATATATTATGCAATATGTGATATATAAGATGACATAGTAAAAAGACCAAAAATTTTAGAAGCATATAATCCTCAGGAGAATTGATATTTATTTAGCATACATGTGTAAAAATTATTTCTATCAGTAATTTATTTCAAATCGGATTTTTATTTCGATTTGTGCAACAAATATTCTGTATGTGTCTGTCTTTCATTTCAAACTTTTTGCAACAGAAAATTATTTTAAAAATATACTTTAAAAAAGTAAAAGTATATTTTTAAAAATTCCTAAGAATTTTCGATTTTATAAAAATTAATTAAGCTCCTTTCTCCATCAAGATTATTTAAGAATTTTAATAGCTAAAATATCACTCACGTGTTGTAACAATCATGTTATTACAAATTACTTGATTTATTATCGGTTGTTGTATATAAACTTAAAGTTTTATACGACGCCAATTTTTACATCATACGTGTTGTATCTCTTGCTTGCCACAAAAGTTTCTTAAGATTCAAGAAAATACGACATGTTTTGCGAAAATATGACGAAAACTAATGCGATCATATTTGCGAAGGCAAACGTCATTTGTTTACTGTTCATTAACAAGTGATGATATTTCGCGCGCAAAACTTACATCCGATCATATTTGTCCAATTGTCATTTGAAACAACGGGATAATAGTATGATTAAACGTCTTCAAATTAGCTTATTTCTTCAATCAAGAATTTTTCTTGCTTCAACCTTTTGTGCGATAATCATTGCACGTGATAAGATTTTATGTTAATTTATTTGCATCACTAAAACCTCGAAAACAAGTTATTCTCGTCGGTTTCAAGATAGAGAGAGTGAGGAGAGGTCATTAATTCATTATTCAAAAGTACGTGATAGTAAATAAAGTCTGAGACACGTCATAAAAGGTCAACAACTCACTCAATGGGTTGTCGGGAAACGCGTGTGAAAATTAAATAGCAGATGACACACGTACGTACCTTCGTTCGCGGTCAGTTCGGCTGTTCTCGGCTCGGTTATATCCAAATAATAAGAGGACGCGAATACTGATAACCCATGGATGGTGCTGTCGATTGTCGCCGTTCCTGCGGTTGCACGTTCAACGGTCGGCTGCTTACACGCGACTGAAACGGTGTCGGTCTGAAACGGTCGAGGAATACTCGGCGCAATAACCACTCGAAGGCTGTCTACTTCCTTCTGACTATTCGCTTGCTGCTGCTGGTGCCGAAATGCCGTGTCCCTTTATTCTTGGCACCGGGCTTGTTGAGACCCGGGGCAGAGACCGTGTCGGTTTCATCATCGAGTGCACGAACCGAAAATCGACCTCGATTCCGAGGGAGGTCATAACTTCACTTAGGAAAATCCCTGGGTCTCGTATACTTCATCTACCGGCTGTGAGTTTTATCGATAACAGCGTGGTCGTTATCGAGGTCATAGAGTTTACGAAGGAAAAAAAAGGCGGAGTGATAAGAAAAATCTGTCGTAACACAGCGATAAAATTTAGCTATAACAAATTGTCGAGATATCGTTCGGTGAAACATTGCAGTGGATGGTTTGATCATTTAGCTTAGCAGATTGAGAAAATTTAATATAGCAGATCGTTCGGGGCAATCTCGAGTGAAGGGTGCTAAGAAAGGAACTCACAAATTTAATGGGTCGGAGTTAAAAAAGAGCTTAGTGGCCAAAGAAAGAAAGATCATAATCGAGCGAATTAACTGTCGCATCAAAGCGCATCACGAGTGTCGCGCCGCGCGTGATTGGGACCGTCTTATACTTTCTCATGACTGCAATTAAAGATTAACAAGTCGGAATAACTTGCGTGGATATAGTCATTCATTTTGTTAGCATAAAAGACTTCAATGACGCGACCGCAACGTGCAAAGGATTGATGTATTACCGGTCAACGCACTCGCTTTCGGCATCAAAGGTTGAACTTCCCAGACGCAATGATAAGCCAGTAGAAGTCAGAAAAGGAGTGGAATCTTTTCTGATCCGAAAAGTTTACACGTACTCGTTACAACGGAGACTGTTTTTTGGAAACCCAACGGTGCGATTAATGTGTGACAATGTTTGATAATCCAAATGTAAATAAACTTCACGCTTAATGACGAAGGATACGTTGCGACATAGTTTAAAATAACGTCGATGGAAATCCGACCTCGCTATTGACGCGCGTCCTCGACTTCGGCACGGAGGTTTCCTTTGATTCCTTATTTGAAAGTAAGAGTACATTCGAGGCACCCAAGGCCTCCGCGCATATGCATATGCACAAACCGCAACTAAAACCGAGCGATCGGGAAAGCGATATAAGAGGCGTGGTAAAGAAGCGAGATAAGGAGTGTACACGTTGTGCGGCGTATTGAAAAATTTACGCGTATCAAATCTGCGGCTGTACGGCGAGCGACTCAGCTCTAACGAAAACGGACGACACGCGCGGCACGCGGGGACCAGAAACAGAAACGAGGTCGTACGTGAGATTTTATAAGCGTGGATTGACCTTAAACCGTTGTACAGAACAAGCACGTAATATATCTGATGTATACAAACATATACTCGACACTGCACACTGCAGAATTTTTGTTTCGCTTTTAAAGATACCTTGTCATTTTGTACGAAAACTACAACGACTGTTCGAGTAGAACGGAAATTAAATATTACTTCTTTCTATTTTAATGCAATTTTTCGAAAAGCGGTCTCCTCAGCAAAATATATAGCGTGAGGGCTTAGAATTAATCAAGAACAGATCCCAGGGAGCACATATTAATTTCATATACGTTTTTTGAATGTATTGTTTCATAACCGTAAAGAACCATTAAGAAACGTTTGAACAAAAATGTTTTTGAAACCATGATTTAAGAAACGTATTTTTTACGTTTCTACAATTAATAAAAATACCTATTTTGTTAAACTTTTCCTTTTAAAATTATAATATATATATTATAATAGCTTTAATAGCCTCTTTTGAAACGTTTAAATTTATATTGAACTAATTATTGTATACAAAATAAACACTCTACTAAACGTGGCCATTGAAAAAACATTTATACGTGTGTTCCGTTCTCAAGAACTTCCTGAACTGGTGCACATCAATAATGCAATTAACTTAGAGTGAAACAAGTATATTTTGTTTCACTTTAACTTATTGCATGAATGTGCACCAGTTCAGGAATTTTTTCGAAAAAGAATAGACCTCATAGATGGTATATGCATAAAGCTTCTAGAACATTCTCACGCATGTCTCAAAGACATCATAAACACGTTCAAAAGACGTACAAAGTAGGAATTTTAAATGTCTTTATCTAAAATGTCTTTATCATTAAAACAAAACGTTTCTAGAATAGTTTTTTAAACGTTATTTTGTCGGAAAAGAAACGTTCCAGCAAACGTTTTTCGAATGGACATTTTTACTCATGAGAAACGTTTCTAGAAATCGGTTATAAAACGTTTCGGAAAAACGCTTATAAAACATTTCTGAAACGTGTATGTGATACCTGAGATGAGTTCTCTTCTTGGTAATTCATTCTCTTACATGCAATTGCGTAGCATTGTCTCTTACGTTGCAAAATCTGCGAATCTCACTGTATCACTGGCGAGATACAGATACCGCGATCGGTTAATCGCGAAACTTCGCGGAATTGCCATCATAAATGGTTTCATCAATTAAAGTAATACCCGTCGTGCGATTAGTAAGTTTGCTCTAGGTTGCGCTTATCAGCCGCTGACAGTTTCTCTATTGTGGAGAACCGCGCAAAATATCGCGAAAGCTCTGTTCGCGATCATAAATCTCATCTTGAAGGGCTGATACGCGAATCTTCGCAAGCTACTCGATAAATATTATAAATAACACAACGATAGAGCGAATAAGCCTCCAACTGACATTTTGAGATTCGAAAGATACACGTTTCATCTTTCTTTTTTAAACAATTCGAATTCTGGAGATCGTTTATCAAATATACATATCACGTAAATATAATGTACATATTTCATGGGTGGTGAATTGATCTTATCGCTCAATCGTATTGAAATATAACGATAAGTATTGGAGATCGCTAAACAAATTAGCGCGATTACGACGAATATGATAATTTTCGGAACAAATACGCTGATTAAATTGTAACGTAATGGAATTTTGTTATTCCGTTACGTTTGCTAATCAATACTTTTCGCAAGCCTTGAAGAATCTATAAAGATAGCGGCGACGCTTCTCTACTGTGTTGACAGTGTAAAAGCTATGTGGTCTGCAGCAATTTATCATAATAATTTATTTGTTAGAATATAACCGGTCCACGATAACCGATGCTAACCGGTCCAGTCCGCACGGCAAAACATATACTTAAAATTTTCCATTAGGATGACGCAGCACACCGAGGAATGCTTTCGATAACAATAAGCATGCATTTTCATTATCTAAAGCAAAATAAACATTAAAAGGGCTGTGTGTTCATTTTATCATGTTATTAATTCCGAGATAACATGTTGACTCTACCTATGGAAAAATTGACAAGACTCTTTGAAGAGACCGCCGTGTCCACACTTATTCTATTCCACAAGATTTGTAAATATTATAAAACAATGTATAAAGTAAAATAGTAAATAGAAAGTTCAAAATTTATGCGAACAACATCCTGCTATTGTCTTAAGCTTTAATGTTTTCCAATTAAAATTACGTTCGTTATAAAGCAAGTTTCTAAATTCCGCAAGACTTATTTATATCATAAAATAATGTATAAAGTAAACGGAAAATTCAAAATCCATGTGAACAACATCCTGCTATTGTCCTAAGCTTTAACGTTTTGCAATTAAAATTATAGTTTGTTATGGACAAGTTTCTAAATCACGATTTAGAACGAAGGAATATGTTATATAATATAGGCAGATCGCGTTACTGGAATTTAAGTTTATTTTGTATTTTGCAACCACTATTTAGAGAATTGGTGCCAAGATGCGTAGTCTCGCGGAAGAGGATCCAAAATAGCTAACGCTTTCGGCGGCTGGTCAGTGACCGATGCATTTTGCAATTCTTGATAATGTACGAAACAATAGATCGCTTCCACATATAACGAATGCCCATAAATATGCATATTCTTAAAAAAGAAAAAAAAATCTCTTTTAAAAATCGATTTATATTCTAAGAAAATTTATAAAATATGCCAACTACGTTTAAATGTTTCCCTCAGCTGCTAGACTATTCAATTATTTGTAATATTTCGATAAGAAACATTAATTAATAAAATATAAGAATGTTACGGATTTAAATTTATAAATTTTAATTATTTTGGAGAATTGCAGGTAATAAAAAATCCGTAAACATTTTAATTAAATAATCTGCCTGTAAAAAAATCTCTGTAATCAGTACACTACAAATATTTTTTACATAAATTAAGAAATAAGGCAATTATAAGACTGTTCTAATTCAATTTCATCAAAATGATGACTCATGTCATTTCCGTAACAGTTAATCAATTTCCAAAGAGCTTCTTGTGGTAATATTAACATTTCCATACAATGCGTAATTACCGTGACAAAAGCATTAAGTATCATAAAATATCAAAGGTCGATAATTAATGAAAACGAAATGTGCGAGATGTATAAAGTTAGCGGTCAAAAGTGACCGTTATCAAATCAATGTGTTAAATCTGTGCCAAACGGAAGGCTGTATTGGTCCTAATTTATCATCAACTCCGACTTGCAGACCAGAACTCGATCTGGCAGTCGTCCGCTGTTACGCAAGCTCGGAGACCTTGACCGACGCGCGATATCTGGAGTTCGTTTTAAACGTTCTTTCTATAGCATCTCGCATCGAACCATATTTTTATCGTCATCTTGACAGTTAAAAATACCTACATATATCACTTTTGATATTATTAAACCTGATACAAGCGCCACGTCGTATAGGAATCAGTGAGGATCCTTTTCTTTTCAATAAAAACAAAACAGTGCAATATACAACTGCGTATATAAATTTTTTTTCACGTCCTACACAGTGTTAAAAAAAGTTGGCAATTAAAGAAACTGACAAAACAAATGCGTTGCTGAAGCGAAATATACACGTGTAAAATTATTTGAGTTTAAATTAGCTTAAAGGCAAATGCACTTGAGGATGAGGACGCCGTTTTACTCGTTGGCAGCGAGTGCAACCACTGTGAAGCGTACTTCGTTGGGATCGCGTTCCATATATTCCTTGCACACGCGGGCAGCATCGTCCAGAAGTGCCTCCGGTGTAGTTGAGCCATGATTGATAGGAGCAGGCTTTCGACCGTCTAGAAAAACAAATATTTGTTATTACAGCATTTTTAATTAGCCATGTCATAAAGTCAAATGTAGAACAAACGCGTACCTAGCTCGTACAAGGAACCGTCCTTATGTACAAACGCGACAAAGTGGTGGTACACCTCCATATCCTCAGCTGGTGCCTAAAAGAAGAAAATAAATCTGTAATTTACAGTTTGAAAGACAATCATGTCATTTTCAGTTACAAAGTAGCCAAGTACCTCAGTCTGTCCTTCCTGGGCAGATTCCATGTGAGTATCAATAATTTCCTGCGATTTTTCTAAACGCTCTCCACGTTCAGCGTATGAGAGTCCTTTGGTTTCATCTAAGAACTTCTTGAGAAAGCCATCCTCCAATTGTATGCTGTAACGCAATAAAGGGAAAAGTATTTTTACTGTTTGTCAATGTGACGGACTAGATTATTTATGATCATAGATGCTTACACGTCCAAATTATTCGCTACGCTGTGAAGTAACGCAATTGTCCCACATGCGTTTGAGATATTTTGCTTCAAATGGTATACAGAATCTGAACCATCATTCTTGCTATCCTTAACTTCTGCTTTATCCTCTTCAGCCTTGTCAATCTAAGAAGACATTAAAGCAAATTTTTATATACAGAAACATGTCAGTCAAATCACCAAGACGCTTCGTCATATTGTACACTACATATACCTTTGAAAAAGGATAAAGCAAAATAACGGCAAGAACGGGCCTAGGGACGATTGCCAGCAAGTCCGACTCTAAACCGTACACATCTAAGACCGACCATTTCTTTGGAACGCCCAGCTTGTGGAGGAACTACAAAAATAGGCATGAAGTCAGTACACTGAATTTTTGCGCATTTCCGACCGTGCCGAAGAAATCTGTTAGAATGTTTTCTTTCGCGCGAAGCACGTGCTGATCGACGTATCCACGACTACGCGATCGCCGAGGAAACAACGAGATTAACCCGAACCGGCTGAACATTGCAGCTGCTTACCTTCGTCATAACCTGTAACAGAAAGCCCGGTTGTTCAATCGCTGCTCGAGCAACGTGTCGTGACTCGAGATGAGGCTCACTTACCTCTGGATTCGACTCCAAGGGCACCCAAGCCATGATGAATCGCGATAATTTTCACACGTAAGAGATTCCGTTCCAACACGCCGGTAAACGTTCCTCGACAAGCCCTTTCACGTCACACTCGTCACACTCACCACGTGATCACGTCACAGTCGATTCAAATTCGTGCAGTCTCGTTTCCATGACGAGACGACATCCGACATCGCGCGAAACGTCAAGTCACGCTACGTCTCGTTCTCGAATCGCGCGATATATTGCGATATATTGCGAGTGGTCGCGCGCGCAAAATTGTACGGTGTACAAAACGAAGGAAAATTATTTTTACTGTTTATCAATGCGACAGACTGGATTATGTACGGCTGAGTTTCTAAATTCATTGCCAGCGCTGAAAATCTATAGTATACGTTACGCGTACTATAGATTTCCAGCGCTGGAAGTCTATAGTATACATGTACGGATCCATCCTGTATCCGCGAGATGTTCCGTTCGCGACGACGGGAGATTCGAGAGTGAAATAGTGAATAGAGTGAGTACTGACGCCACGCCAATTTCATAATGATCCCGCGCGCGACACGACGCGCGCGATCGCCAAGTTCGAATGCCGAATCTATATACACGACAGTTAAATGTTATTATTACAAAGAATGTAAAATACAGAATTGATGCAGGTTTTGCTTACTAATTAAATGAATTGTGACGCCAGTTTTCCCGAAATCAATTTGTTTCCGTGTCTATCACGTTTTTCTAATAATGACGAAATATTTGAATATGCAACTTTGGTACGTGACACTACGTGAGTCAAATGGATGGCTAATAAAAACGTACAGTTGATCAACTAAAATTATGCAATTAAATTTTATTATTGCATGTACAGTATACAGTAATTGAACTTATTAATATTGCAAAAATATATTATGTAAAATTACACAACACGAAAATCATAAGCGCAGCACGGACACGCACCAAGGGGAGAGACTTTATCGACAGTGCCAGAAAATGGATATGCCAAATAGTTCCAACGTTGAAAATGGGTGCGAGTGGCGTTTCGAGCGGTCCAATATAAAACGGTATCATTTCAGGTTAGGTCCCCGTGGTCCAGCAGACAGATATCCACGTAAAAAGATTCTGTAACATATCATTTTTTTCATACAAGCAGTAGATTGCACGAGCAACTTCTTATTTACATCTGCTTTGTAGATTGCACCTTGGATGATACTTTAATTACACTATGAATACGATAATGCAGCCAAATGGAGCCGAGATGCACATATACATACATGACCATAATTTTACCATTGGTTAAAGATAACGTGACCTCAGTGAAGAGATAACATTTACTCTGAATTAATCTTGTAACACGAAATTGGTAATCCAACATTTGTAATTACGTATCCACAATAAAGTCAATCTACAATTGTCATCAATCTACAATCAATCTACATCAAATCTACAATTGTCAATTTTTGAAAAATATTTTTTCGAGATTTATAAAGATTTCTATTACAATTGTGAATTTTCGATTTGAATGCCAATTATTGAAAATTTACGATAAATTGACAGCTATACATGCATGCTAATTTAATTTAGATTAAATTTAATAATAAATATTATTTAAAATTTTTTCTAGGGTTTTAGCGGAATTACAGTGTTCCATAAAAATGTTGAACTGTACACATGAATTATATAGCGTCGACCAATAATAATGTGATCTTTGTCCTAAAACAATATGGAGTGCTAATCTAATCTAATCTCTAAATATGAAAGCAAAACAATATACAGAAATAGAATTCTCGTCCAGATTTAATATCAGTCAATAGGAATAAAAGACTCGTTTAACAATCATTGCTTTCACTACAAGTTTTTACTGGCAGGATGACGTTTATACATATCTGGTGTGCCGTACTGATTCTCTGTGTGACAGTAGAGGCATATGTTAATGTAATAACAAACTGGGATGAGAATAATTTTGTGCCATTTGCAACAAAAGCACCCAAATACGATCCAACTTGGTCTAGTCTAGACAGTCGACCGCTTCCGTCCTGGTACGATGAGGCAAAGTTTGGAATCTTTATTCATTGGGGTGTATTCAGCGTGCCCAGCTTTGGCTCCGAATGGTTTTGGAATCATTGGAAAGGTTGAACATATCTACTATCTTAGTTCTTATATTAAAAAATACTATGGAGATTAATGTGATATCTTATAGAATTCTATAAATGATATTGTAGAGGAGAAAAGAACTACAAAATTTTCCGATTTTATGAGAAAAAGGTATCCTCCAAATTTCACCTATCAAGACTTTGCACGAGACTTCACTGCTGAATTCTTTGATGCTTCCGAGTGGGCAGAATTATTTCAAGCGTCAGGTGCAAAGTATATCGTATTGACAAGCAAGCATCATGAAGGATATACACTGTGGCCATCAACGTATTCATTCAGTTGGAATTCTATGGATGTGGGGCCTCAAAAGGATCTTGTTGGTAATGAAGACATATATCTAATAACAATAAGATTTTGCATTAAATATAAACATTCTTATACGTATTACTTTTTCTGAAATAGGTGAACTGGCAGAAGCAATTCGAAACAAGACACATATAAAATTCGGCTTGTATCATTCATGGTTTGAATGGTACAATCCTCTTTATGTAACAGACAAAAGAAACAATTTTACAACAGATAGATTCGTCACCCATAAAGTGATGCCAGAATTCCGTGAGCTGATAGAAACGTACAAGCCGGATATAGTTTGGTCAGATGGAGATGGAGAGGCAACGGATACTTATTGGAAATCAAAGGAATTTTTAGCCTGGCTATACAATGAAAGTCCTGTAAAAGATACAGTAGTGGTGAATGATAGATGGGGCATTAATATACCATGCCATCACGGTGGTTTCTTTACATGTGCTGATCGTTTTAATCCTGGTAATTTATTATTATGCTTGTTATAATTAGAATTATCTAAATTATCAAAATGTAAAAGAGAGTATATTAATGGCAATTAATAGACTGGCAATTAATATTATTTAATAACTGATTAAATTGTTATATTAACAATAATTTGCTTCCCAGGTGTACTTCTTCCACATAAGTGGGAAAACTGTATGACTATTGACAAAAAATCCTGGGGATATCGCAGAAACGCTGTTTTATCCGAATACTATACATTGGCTGGATTAGTAAAGGAATTAGTAATTACTGTAAGCTGCGGTGGAAATTTACTGTTGAACGTTGGGCCAACAAAAGATGGTATTATTACACCAATATATGAAGAAAGATTGCGTGGAATGGGTAAACATCTTTTATATCTTATCATATTTTTTATTAATGTCTTGATCGATTCAGATATCAATTTTCTGATAATCTTAATGATATACAAGTAAACTTTTTGTTTTAGGCGCTTGGCTAGCAATTAACGGCGAAGCTATTTACAATACTAAGCCTTGGACAGTACAAAATGATACCTTAACTGGAAGTGTATGGTACACTATAAGTAAAAATGAAAAACAGCTATATGCCTCAATTCTAGAATGGCCTCAATTCTTTAATATCTTATCGTTAGGCTCGCTTAAACTTTCGGAGAATTCTCAGATACATCTACTTGGTTATTCGTCAGTAATTCCTGTAAGTGTATTACTACTTTTACCAACCTTTATGTTATAAAAATGGTGATAAAATAATTTTGAACATTTATTTCAGTGGAAACAATCCGATAATAAGCTGGAAATAAGTTTACCTCCTAACGCACACAAAGGACAGCCAGCTTGGGTATTAAAATTTAAGGAAAATAATCATTGAATGGTTGAAGATACAGTATTTTATATATAGATATAGATTTTCATCAATATATGCATATGTATTTACTGTATACATATGTAATACATATACTTACTAAGAATATATTTCGTCTGGTAGACAAGTTTGGAATTAGAATTAGAACTATTTAGAAATGTACTTAAATCATGAAAAATAATAAATCTTTATTAAAGTACTTGGCTGCCATCCCGTGCGTCTTAAAAGTTTGAATAAAAGAATATATCAGAAAACTTTAATAGAAATATTTTCTATTATACCTATATAAATATGTTAATATCAAATTTACATCACTTATTAAAACTAAAAACAAAGTATTTATAAACTTTTGTAGCATTTTTGTAAAATCGTTCCAGATAAATAAGTTACAATGAAAAAACTTTATCTCTCGTATAATCTTTCCTATTTCTCTCATATCTCCTCGTAACTCAAATTCATGCGATCTTATTTTCGTGAGAAGCAAAACACAAGTCGAGATGAATCTCGCTCCTCGAAAACACAATTGGTAGTGAATTGTTATAGAATGTAAACATTAAACATTAAACTGTGGGTGAAGAGATCATTAATTAGCACATAGCGATCGTTCTGTAAAATTGAAGCAGTTAAATAATACTGCATTTGGATATAAAACGGATATTTTTTACAAAAAGAAGAAAATTCTGTAGCGTATCATTCTTCGCATTTAAAGCAATTTCGATTTTATCTACGGCTGCTTTCCGATATTCCCTGTCAGTTTTAAAAATATATACAGTTTACGTCACGTACACTATAGATTTTCAATATTGGTGGTATAATGTACTGCGTGACTGTCGTGGTCGTGACTTAAAGTATAGATTTTTTCAATACAAAACCTAACCTAACATCCATTGTTCTCCTTGTCCCCTGTCCCTTCTCTGTATTTTAATTATACTGTATTTTTTAAACGTGATAATGACCAAGACACGAAGACGATTGTGGTCAACTTTCAAAAATAATGTAGCTTATGAAAAAATAACATAACATTTATAATACGTGTTGATCAATGTTATAAAATGAAGACCGTTAATCTAACAGTAACTGCGTGGTTATGTGACAATAAATAAAGCTTGTCAAGTTTACAATTATTGTTTTGAAATATATATTGCACTTTTCTATTATCATGCATAATTATGAACAAGATTATATGATTCAATCATTGAGGAAACCGGTTTGCGTTTAGTGTAGTTTAATATAACTGAATATAATAAAGAGCATTTGTTTCAAAACTCAATGCTTTTTGTGGAATTATTTTGTAAACAATGGCCGCTTAAATTTTCCATTCAAGTTGTATTGGTATCGATAAATAATATATAATGCCTGGTTTAAAAAATACGCGGTAACGATATCTAATCTCGAAACGATACAAAACAGTAATATAATCTTCGTCGAGTTTTAATACAAATACGGAGAGAAATAAAAGACCCGTTTGATGTCTGTTGCTTTCATTAGCTCAAGTCTCGTGGGATCAGAATGACGTTGTTTGGATGTATTTTGAGCACTGTGTTGATTTTGTGTATGTTAGTGGAGGCACATTATAACGTGATAGCTAGAACAGATGAGGAGGAGAATTTGGTGTCGATTTTAACAGAAACACCTAAATACGATCCAACTTGGTCTAGTCTAGACAGTCGACCGCTTCCACCCTGGTACGATGAAGCAAAATTTGGAATATTTATTCACTGGGGTGTATTCAGCGTGCCCAGCTTTGGCTCTGAATGGTTTTGGAATAATTGGAAAGGTTGAGAGTGTTATTATATTTTTTATATTTATGAAATATATCATGTATGTAGACTATACTGTTATTTATATATGTGATGTTGCAGAAGAAATTAACTCTACGAAGTACTCCGACTTTATGAAACAAAGGTATCCTCCGACTTTTACCTATCAAGACTTTGCACGTGACTTCACTGCTGAATTCTTCAATGCTTCTGAATGGGCTGAGTTATTTCAAGCGTCAGGTGCAAAGTATATCGTATTGACAAGCAAGCATCATGAAGGATACACATTGTGGCCGTCAACATATTCATTCAGTTGGAATTCCATGGATGTGGGACCTCAAAGGGACCTCGTTGGTAATAAAGCTACATGTATAACAATAAGATTTCGCATTAAATGTAAACATTCTTATAGATATTCTTTTTTTCATATGAAATTTCCAGGTGAACTGGCACAAGCAATTCGTAACGAGACAAACATAAAGTTTGGCTTATACCATTCCATGTATGAATGGTACAATCCTCTTTATGTAACAGACAAAGTAAACAATTTTACAACAGACAAATTTGTTACTCAGAAAATAATACCAGAGTTACAGGAGTTGATAGAAACGTACGAACCAGAAGTAGTTTGGTCAGATGGGGATTGGGAAGCGTCGGATTCTTATTGGAAATCAAAGGAATTTCTAGCATGGTTATACAATGAAAGTCCTGTAAAAGACACAGTAGTCGTGAATGATAGATGGGGTAGTGATATGCCGTGCCATCACGGTGGTTTCTATACGTGCACTGATCGTTTTAATCCTGGTAAGTAATGTAAAATTATAAAATACTAATACGAACTACTAATATGTAATTAGTAATATTAATAGTATATGTAATATGTAATATTATTAAATAAAGATTTGCATTTATACATAGGTAGGTTTACAAATTAATAAAATTTTGCTTTCTAGGTGTACTCCTTCCACACAAATGGGAAAACTGTATGACTATTGACAAAAAGTCCTGGGGATACCGCAGAAATGCTGCTTTATCCGAATACTATACATTGGCCGGATTAGTGAAAGAGTTAGTGATTACCGTGAGCTGTGGTGGAAATTTACTGATGAACGTCGGACCAACAAAAGATGGCATTATCACGCCAATATATGAAGAAAGATTGCGTGGAATGGGTAAACATCTTTTGTATCTTATCATATTTTGTATTAGTGTCTTGATTGATTCAGATATTAATTTTTTTGATGATCTTAATGATATACAAGTAAATTTCTTGTTTCAGGCGCTTGGCTAGCAGTTAATGGCGAAGCTATTTACGATACTAAGCCCTGGACAGTACAAAATGATACTTTAACAGAAAGTGTTTGGTACACATTAAGCAAAAATGAAAAACAGTTATATGCCTCAATTTTAGAATGGCCAGATGATAATATCTTATCGTTAGGCTCGCTTAAACTTTCAAACAAGTCTCAGATAAATCTACTTGGTTATTCGTCAGTAATTCCTGTAAGTGTGTTGCTATTTAGATATATGTTATAAAAATAGTTAAGTAATTTTGTTCATACATTTTAGTGGAAACAATCCGATGAGTTGAAAATAAATTTGCCTCTTGATGCACACAAAGGACAGCCAGCTTGGGTATTAAAGTTTGGTGATTAAATAATGTACATATATTTTACTAAGAATATATTTTATATTGTATATATTGTTTTCAAAAATACATACGAAAGAAAATGACATTTTATAGAAAATGACATTTCCATAGAAATTTTCTGTAACAAAAATATCAAATACAATGCAGCGTATTGTAATCATAGTTGTAAAACGCTTCAAAGTAAATTAAAAAAAATTAAAAGAAATACCAAGCACCTCTTTGTTATTCCACAGATAAGCAAATGCTAACAGAAAAAATATTACACGTGAGCTACTTCGTATAGATAAGCTCCAAGTAGTTTTGTCTGGAAATAATAAAAAGATAAGTTGTAAAGATAAATCGTTTTAATATATCGATTTTTAAAAAATGGTCAATTAGCAAATTTTTAGCTGCTCTACCAATAGTTATGCTTACCCCTTGGATGTAATTATATACATTCAACTTTTCATTTTGAGAATGTGCACCATCGTCACCCTGGCCGACTGGTAAGAGCAATACATTTTTACCAGTAACTTCCTGGAAAGTCAGGGTAACTGGTATCGACCCGCCTTCCCGAGAAAGGTCGGGTTCTACATTGTAAACATGTTGAGTTGCTTTTCGGCCAGCTATGTAATTCGGATGGTCGGGATTCTCGGACCATGGTTTGCCACCGTGGAACATGCTCACGTTCATAATATTTGGGCTACCTCTGCTTTGCCATTTCTTATTTATATAAGCGATAACCTTCTCGGTCGTCTTATCCGGAGTCATATTAGGCACTATTCTAATCGAAAATTTGCCAATAACTTTACTCGGAATTACTGTTTTTGCTCCTGGCTCACTGAAAGCACCTTCTATCCCATGAATAGACAAACTGGGCTGCCTCCAACGATGCATTAAGATCTTGGTCTGCAAAAATTGGAATATAAATCGGGACATATATTTAACATGCATTTTTAAATTTATAAAAAAGAAAAGAGAAAATATATACATGCACATACCTTATCTTCCTTATGCGCTAGTTGTTTAGTTCCAACTGTTTCCCTAAATTCATTTACATCAAAATCTATATCCTTGTAACTATCTAATTCAGCTTTTGTCAATTCTGCCACATTATCATAAATGTTGTCTATCAAAATGCGACCGTTGACATCGACCAGGGTATTCATTAAGTAAATGAGATCTGCCATAGCTTCATATATACATCCACCAAAGGTACCACTGTGTAAGTCCTTAGTAGCGCAATTGACTTCTATTTGGAAATAGCAAATGCCTCGCAGACCATAAGTGATACATGGTTTCTTGGTGCCCAGCCAATAATTATCAGATATGCAAACGTAGTCTACGTTCTTTAAAAAGCTGTCTTTCCTTGCCCAAAGAAGTTCATCCAAACCTTCACTGCCACTTTCTTCCATTCCTTCAAAGACAAACTGTACAAAAAAATTCCAAGCAATTAAAATAAATATAATATTATAAATTAGTCGACAATATATCGAGTCAAGCATTCTTTATTTCGTTAAGAAATACCTTGAGATTAACAGGGATATCGATCCCAGTTGCTTTGTAAGCTTGCAATGCGTGTATCCAACAAAGAACCGGCCCTTTGTCATCTGTGCTGCCTCGACCGAAAAGTTTTCCATCTTTTTCAATAAGAGTGAAAGGCTCGGTATCCCATCCATCCTTCTTTAGCGCAGGCTGTACATCCAAATGTCCATACAAAAGTACAGTTTTCTTTTTCGGATCTGAGCCAAGACTACCGAGTAGTACAGGAGGGAGTGGGATTTCACTGCCATCAGGGAGAGGCTGTTTGCCTACGTCAGCTAATTCCGTAGTCGCTCCAAGATTCTTCAACCTCACTTCTCCCCACTTCATCATTTTAATCACTTCGTCTCTGTGATCCGCCCATGCTGATACGGATTTGATAGCTACCGCCTCTTTCAAGTTATCTATATATTCCTGTTTATGCTCGTCTATGTACCTATAGCAGCGCAAAAAAAAATAACCGAATGAAAGTGAGCAAAAATTACAAACAAAACGTACACATAAACGACTGTATACATTGAGCCTGCCCAAAAATGACGTCTTTCTACGAAATTAGCTTTCGTGAAATTAGAAATACTTTAAAGAATAAACGAAACGTACTTAAATAAAGTTTCCAAGGCCGGTGGTAATGCCATGACTGTTAATATTAATTCCGTTAGAACGCACGAACGCAGATCAAACGTGTAGTGGCTGGAATGCAACTGCCAACTCAACCTGGTTTGGCAAATCTGGTACTCCTATAAGATAGTATATCTTCCTCTCCCCTTTACTCTCTCGTTTCCGCTCTTTGAGAGAGCACACGCTATCACGCGAAACTTACGATAACGCAATACCTCACTCACTCACTCACTGTGGCTGTGGCAGGAATCAGGAGTGTGGGTCGTGTGGGATCGGTTAGCACAACAGCTGACAATAACAATGACACCTCGAGCCTCGAGTCCTCGTTATTATTCGAACGTGGGACCAATCAAAATAGATTTCACATAGAAACTCACGGAAACGCCATTGTTGCATTATAAAATGATTACAAATTATTAAAAATTCGTCAGCATTATCTACTTATTGTTAGTATTATTCTTCTACATATGCCAGATAAAAACGCTCGTATTATCTATGATGGATATATGACTGCAGCGGAATACACATTTGACGAACATGGCTTTGCAATTTTACTCTTCTCGTAACTCTTTTTTTTTCTTTCTGTTTATAACATCTGTGACACATTATACACTCATCTTGTTTTGTGTAGCATTTCGCAGATAAAAAGTTTTATTTAATGTATAAATAAGAATTATAAAAAAGAAAGTTAGATATAATTATATCTAACTTCTTTTTTTTAAGAGACTGGAGACTGTTTTTCATTCTGCTCCGAATCATACGAAGACGATTGTTGCAAAAAAGTGTTACATTATATTATATTATTATGATGATTACCGAAATATTGCGTTCTTCTTTTGTTCCTTTATCAAGTTAAAATGTTAAACTGTTAGAGAATAAAGCTAAACGTCAAATGTTAAAGGTGCATTTTCAAATGAATAAATTCCCATCTCACATATTAAAGTAATTTGGACTAAATACCGATAAATTTAATCGACGATTAACTCAATCGGCGAAATTGTCTACGACAACATTTTTCGTTACATAATATTGTTATATATATATATCTTTCTCTCTTTCTTTATTCTATCTGTAAAAAAAAAAAAAACTTATGTAAATATATAAATAAAATAATAAAAATATATAAGGCTCTCGTGATTAAATCAGTAAAATTTACTAAATAAAATAATCCTCTTTTATATGTTAACCCTCCGTCAGCAATCATGTTTTTACAAATTCGTCGTTCTGGGTCGTTGCTTCAACACGCATTGACAGAAACCGGCGTCACCGCGGCAGCAATCTCTCTATTATACGGTCTACCATAAACTTTTTTTAGGGGGATGAGGTATCAAACACCGTTTCCTCTCCACAAAGAAATGCAAGAAAAAATTTTGCTGGGGGCTTTAAAGCCTCAGATTGCTAATAGGGGGTTAATGCTTATATATGTTACCAAAATGCTGCAGTTGCTTGATAGTTAATCACCGATCAAATTAATCGAAATTTTAAAAACTATTAGGGGCAGTATTCGTAATTCGATCGTATATAATTAACATCGTTTTAAGTACGATTTTAAAATGTTATTTTAAGATGTTAACATTTCGTACGTTGATTAGAATCTTAAGGTTATCTAAATCTAAAAATAGACTTAAGCTGATCTTGAATACACAAAATCAATCCATGAATGTCCCATGTCCGCTCTATGTCCCTATATGATCTCGAGGTGCCGTGCGGTCATTTCATTGGCTGGACGGACTCTTGAGGTCATCCTTGAGATCAGACAGATCTTAAGATCTTATACAGGATCGCGCTACACGAATACTGCCCTAGGACTCAGCACCACTTTAGAAACTATGATATTAATCTTCTTTATGTCGTCCTTGATTTTTAATTAGAACGCTATTAATTTCTACACGTCTATCATTATCGTGTATCGAGCGTTCATCCAAGTGCATTTACCCGGAAACTATCCCTGCAATGTACGCATGTCGCGCGGTCGTCGAAGGGGCAGCTCGACCCATGGTCCTGTCGACTCCAGTTTGACTCCAACGTTGTCCCCTGTACTCTTCGGCTTTTCCGTCTTTCTCTCTAATGTCTTCCCCTATATATCTATTTCTTTCTAAGCGCAGAATGAACGCAGTGCAGCTACAAGGACGCATGCATCGTTCTGTCAAAGCTCTTGGCGCGCAAGCGCAATTTGTCGGGCAATGTCAAATAGACCGACTCTTTTCCTTCTCTCTTTATCTCTCCCACTTTGCGTTAGATAATCGTTCTCGCCGAATGAAACGCATCTCGAGCATGACGCCGGCTGCGGAAAATGCGCCGCGCTGTCGCGCTCGTTGACGCGATTCGCCACGCCTGTCCTTTCTCTCCCTCTTTCGAATCCTCGGAGTCCTCCACCGTGTATGCGTCGCATCGCGATTTCCGTGAAATTGACGCACGATTGACGGAATGCCAGTGAACGCATCCGTGGCTTTGCCGGCCCGTTGTCCCGTAACAAGGCACCTGGTGGAACGTCGCTCCTCCATGAACCGCGACTCCGTGCGCTGAGTCGTGCTTCGTTGGTATACATCAAACAAACATCGACTCGAATGCTCATTTATTACGCTCATACATCAACTGTCAACGAAACGAAAGCGGATTCGAAGCTCCAACGAAGGCAGAAGTGTGTATGCTGTAATGCATGTGTTAAACGCGTTCAATATAACAATCTCCATAATTGTTGAGTTTAGCTTAAATTAGGTAACTAAAGGGATAAGAATCGTACCTGGCCGTATTCCAATACTCATGCTATTTTCAACTTGCATCTTAATTTGTATCTAAGAACATACTTTTAATATTTAGGTAAGCGATAAGAAGAACTGGGCGCTAAGATGGTACGCGTGATAACGGTGCACAATTTCCTGGGACAGAATGTCGCCCAGATCGATGAACCCACGGCGACGTGCACGGCTAGCAGCCAGGGGCAGGAGATGCTCCTGCTGGCGTTGCCCACACACTGCGTGGAGGTATGGGAGCTGATGAATTCGGACGTCAAGTTGCGCACTGTTTTTCCCACGGTAGACATGATCAATCACATGGTACACTGCGCCAAGGGAGACTACGTTGTGACGCTGGAATCAAAATATCTCAGAGACACTGCGAGCAATAATCATGCAAATAGAGCCACTTCTAATTTTGTAAGGATTTATGTAAATTGGGCTACGGCGAAAGATCAGAGTCAGCCGATGCGAGCCAGGATTGCTGGGCGGGTCACGCCGAGCTTAAATCGACCCTTGAACAGCTTGGAGATGATAGAGTTACCTCTGAGCGTGCAACCTACGTTAATCGCTTGCTGCCAGTGCACCGGGAACTTATTGGTAGCTTCCGGAAACAGTGCGATTCTGCATGAGTTCAAGATCGAAACGCAACAGGTATCAAAGATGAAATTTATAGATTTTGAGCCTAGACCTTGGTCGTTGGGATTCACATTCATACCTACACGCATGGAAATCATGGAAGATTTTATAGCAATCATGGATAATACAAATTTATCCGTTTTTCGTCTCACAAACTCGATGTACGAAGATATTGACCAACTTAGCTCTTTAACTTCCACTTCTTCTTCCGTCGACAAGACGTCCATATCCACAGATTCATCTCTCGTAGATAATAGCAGCAACCTTGGAAATGATGATATGTCACTGCAGGGAACAAATGTAAAGCACAAATCTATTGATCAAGATTGTCAGTATGCGACACCTAAAAATAATGAAACAATTGTGACCAATGTAAAATCTAAAGATAAAAAACACAGGAGTACAAAGGGAAGTACATGGTATAAGCCAGAAGTAGACGATTTCAACAAAGCAAAGGCAAGTAATAATAAGAATTACATAGACTGGGAGCACCTGATATGCAACGAGAAAGATGAGATGCAAAGGCTAATTGCTCAAGGAATTATTGATCCTTCTTCACAGCCATTGACGGTGAATCTGCCACTGATAAGCTTAGAAAGGGCTGGTCCAGGTCACGCTCTCAGTCCTTTTGTACTAAATTCAGCGGACATAAAAATCTTCATCAAGACAACTTCGCCTGACGTAGGCTGGTCTGAAAATTATATGATAAAAAATTTACTATGTTTAAAAATCAACGCTGGAAATAATAATGCCAAGGTAGACGGAATTCTAGAGATCTTCAGATGCCTCGTACTGAAGCCGCTGTATATGAAGAAGGAATGTAACATCACCGGTGTGAAGAAATCTATGTTGCGATCCGATAGGTACAGATACTTGCAAGGTGTAAGTTGTTTCGTTTGTACTACGCAGGAGGGATATCTGTATCACTTCTCAGCGGCAAGCAGCGGTTCTCTGGATGCGACGTGTCTGACCACTTATCCGTTCACCGCACCTGTTCATCACGTGGCGCTGGAGCACACGGTACTTCACGCATTGACCGAGGCCGGTCTCGAGTCCTACACATTACGTCTTTCTCATCATATCGCGAAATTGTCAAACAGCACGGACAGCGTTAGAGTAACTTGCCCCAGTGTCAACGAACCGGTAAGCCTTATCGGTTTAAGACCGTTCCTGGGAATACAGAAGCTGTTGCATACGAGAAGCTATATAGTTCTGCTAGCTAAGGCCGACAGTTCTTGGACCATGTACTCTTTGAATCTACCGAAATTCGAAAATGTATATTTCGATATATTGAATGCAGCAAGGAGTCATAAATCCTCCAGTCCGAGCACTTATCGACATTTGCTGGGAGAGGCACACGCCTTGATACGCTTGGCGAAGGATGTTTCGTACGATGGCGTGGATAACGAGGAATTCGACGATGCGATGCACAAGAATGATCTCAAGTTGAAAAACCTCTACAATCAATCGTGCGCGTTGCTCGCGGATTACTATATACGATCGGAGAATGAATCGGATTGGGATTTGTGTATTCCTTACTACAAGATGTCCGGGCTAAAGCCTTCCGAGGTGTTATCCAGGAAATGCAGTCAGGACGCACCGGGACTCCTGACGTTCTTAACGGATGCGCTTCTCACGATGAAAAGCGGATCCGAAGCGGACGCGCTTTTCCAAGGATTTAATATCATAGAAATCATCTGTAAACTGGAGAAGGAGGATCTGTTGAAATTAATCTTCGGGAGTCCTGTGCTGAGGGAGTACGCCACCGAGAAACTGATAAATCTTCTGCTAACGCACGAAACCGACGATATTGTTAAACTCGCCTTGGCACTCTTATACATTCAGGCCGACAAACAGGAACAAGCGGAGAAGGCGTTGGAGCCAGTTTCCGTGCGATGTATCAACCAGATTGTTTTGGAACGCTGGGAACTGCTATTCGACGTAACCGCAGTGAAAAAGAGGAGTCCTATGATCGCTACTTTCTCGGACTTTGCCGGTATCTTGATGCTCATAAAGAACACTACCTTCGCCGATATCCTGATACAATTAATAGAAGACGAAGGTGCGTTGTCGTTGCATCAAATCATACAGGTGTTCCTGGAGTACTTGCCGTCGCGAGTCGGAAGGGACGGGCACAACGCAGCTGCCACCCTGCAAGTTTTTCTCGAGAAATATTTACATAATTATTTCAGTTCGAAATTCATGATGGAGTGGCCACAACCTGTAAATAAAAATCAGATACGCTCGGATTTTGCTCTCATTGAGGCGTTCAAACTATTAGTGCGATCATACTTAGGCAAATTAACTCAAACAAGGGTGCATAAAACCGATCTCAAGGAGGATCAGGGAGAAAATGATAAAGAATATTTCATGTTCGCCAAATATCGACCGAGCTATTTGAACAAAATGCCACCATACGCCAAAGATTACCAAAAAATTTTAGGCATGAACGATTTTAAGGATTTAGAGAATTTTAACAACGCATCCGAGACCGAGAAGATTATACCTAAGGAATTGTTTAAGCTGCAATCCATACTGTCGTGCGAATTTCTGCCGGTCGAATGTTTGCACGAGGTCAAGCAATTTCTCGAAACGCAAAATATCGATGGAAGCTTGTCTCTCAAGACATTATGCATTCAGAATACGGAAGAAGTGACGACAATTCTAATGGATAGTTGTCCACAAGCTGTAGTACAGTATGCGAAGGTATTTTTAATACATACACACACATGTAACACGTGATATCGTGATTTTTATTCAAACATTTTGCCAGGAGATTTACTGTCACTTTATCATGTTGCAGGATAAATATACGAAGGACACTGAGTGGAAGCATCTTATTGAATTAACGCAGGACAAAATTGCCACTTCAACGACGCAACAGGAGTTACAACTCTTGTACACGCAGATCATGAAAGGTAAGTTAAACACAATAATATGAACGGAATGTGAAACAGATAGTATATGTATAATAAAATAATCTTGTTTTTTTTTTCTGAACTTATAGAAATCCTGAATTATTTGCCACATGCATTACCTATGAAAAGTCTACATCGCATCTTACCGAGAGATGACATGGCAGCATTTCAAAGATGCACCGAAATGTGCAATCAAATCATGCATGCGGATCATGTAAAATCGTTGATAATGGAAACCGGACAGCAACTTTTGACAACTTTAAAGTTGTGAAGATAGGTTTCCATTAAATATCATTTGTTAGCTAATTTCTAGACAAGGAAGTGATAATACTAAGGAATTACGAATATAAATTCGGATATCACGTTTTAACAATGATATCACGAAAGACTACTTTGTGTGCACTTATACTCGCAGATTAGCCATTTCTACAAACATTTCAGACATATGTTCCTGATTAATGCAGTCACATAAACTGATGTTAGTTAATAATTGTGCTGATGCACGCATTTTTAATGATAAATAACTTTCATCAATTATTTAAAAAAATTCGAAGGGAGATATTATAAATAGAATTTGTCTATAATTAACTGTTGAATCGTTCTATATAGATATATTATATTATGACTAAAAATATAAAATCTGTCCCAGAGCAAAGATAATAACTTAACACATAAAGATTGACATAAAATAATGTATACAAAAATTATAAATTTGGAGCACATTATATCTATACAAGAAAATGTTTTTAATTATTCATTAATTGAATTTAGAAATAATTATATAAATGTTTGAATGCTCTACGCAGTTATATCAAAATTTATTAATATTAATTACATCAATCGATTTTGTTCTGCTCTGGAACAGAAGGTATGTCTTTAGTGAAATGAATTTTACTAAAATAGTTTTTATCAAATCTGTTGATCCTAACGAGTTTTACGTAATCGATTTTTGAGTGTTACAAAACATGTAACTTTGATGTGCCTTTAGCAATGATTTCTCTTTATTGTAAATCTAATTATGTTAGAATGATTAATAATATTTATAATTCATCATAAAAAAAAAAATAAATACATAATAATCTAGCTGTTACTTTTTTATCCTATACCTGGTTCATAATTTTATCCCTAACATAATAACCAGTAATCATTATTAGAATTACAATATTAATTAAAAAAAACATAGATTTCGAAATTTTTATTAATGTTACAGTAGTATTAATATAAATTTTCAATAGGCATAACAATTTTGTATATGTGATAAAATAAATTCTAAAATAAAGATAATACAAGGTGTCCCAGATTTTTTCCGTACAAACTTTAGTAATATGTTCTATTAGCAGAAATAAGAAAGAAATGTTACATAAACATACGCTCCAAAATGCTTTATTAGAAAGTTATAGCAAAAATACGAGATGTATAAGAAACAATTTTACTTAAGTTTGCATTTCAAAGTGCCGCCAGCCTATGTCAATATAAACTATACATCGATGTAATATGGAACTTACTACCGTAGGAATTTGAACTCGTCAAACATAATTGCAAATAAACATTGGTAAAGACTGTATGATGCAGCACTCTTCTGTTAGGAAATCTTCATTGATATTCTCTAACAGAAGCCTTTACATTCCCTGTACACCAACCTGAATATAAAATAAATATCCGTGTATTCTTCGTTTGTTAAAACTCACAGCATTTTGGGACAATATTTTACGAGATACTGTTCATTACTAGTAGTTCATACAAGTTTTCATGATTACCTTCAATCATTTCAAATAGTAAGCACGAAGAAGCAGATGAGATAAACATCATCGAACGGTGTATCACTTATGTACATGGCATGTTACATATCTATGGCAAGACCGTTATTATTTCTTCAATACGAAATTCTGACTTTTACGATAACGTTCTAATAAAGCATTTTGAGATCTATATTTATACAACATTTCTCTTTCTTATTTCTGATATTCTATTTCATAGAATATATTACTAAAGTTTATACCAAAAAACCTGAGACACTCTGTATAACAAGATCCAAATTTGAGCAACTTGAATATTTTCAATAGAAATAAATGTGATACAATCTTAACAGTTTCGCAATAGATATAAAATATATATTTATACCTACTATTTTCATAAAAATAAAAATAGATATTAGGAATGTAAGATGTTAACAAATTTCTATGGCTATAATAAATTGCCCTGAAATATTATTAAACTGTTATTCATGTTGTTTAGTGTTAATGATAAATGAGCTAATTGTCCCAGTTTTATATTTCTTATATATACAGGATATCAAAGTTAAAGAATCGGTACAATACGTACAATAAAAGTGCGATAACTCAATATCTTGAACGTCTTGCACATCTGTATATACATTTTCTGTGTTTAGTTGACTAAATATTCTAGAATTTAATTTTGCTAAATGTTTGAAGAACGTATTGAAAAAAACGTTTTATTATTTTTGGTTGATTACCTAATCCAAATGTATTCCTGAATAATCCATATAAAATCCATATAAAAATGAACCGTTGTATGAATCTTCAATGCATTTGCGCCCGTCTACATTATTTCAAATTCCCTGTTCAGTTTTGACAAATCTCTAGAAGAATATGGGTATTTTACATATAAATAACTATCATAAAGTTTTTATACATTAATCTGTATAGAATTTTGCATAAAATGTTACCTGTTTTCTATAGCTTCCATCAACTCATATTTATGCATCAACGATATAACTAATCTTAACGTAGACCATATTGTGTTTGACATTGCTTTAGGAGGTACGTTACTAGCTCGTGGGCCTCTCCCTGCAGCTTGTTGATTCAATGCTGTCAAAAGATGCTCGCCTGCCTCTCTGTAATATCATAATAGTTTCATCGATACATTGCTAATATTTTTCTTATATAATTTGAGAATTATATACAAAAAAGGTCTATATTTACTTATATGCTCCAAGATTAACGCAAGATATGCCCAAATTGTAACGTGCTCTAATGAATCCAGGCGATAATTCTAAGGCACGATGATACGCATTTACAGCTTCCGCCGATCGCTGACCATTAGCTAAAGTGGCACCCAATCTATTCCACAATCTGGAATCCTTTCCAAAAAACATACAATCAAACATGAGTGTTAGTTCGGATATATCCCAACAGAAATAGATTGCGCTTACATCAGGACGCACGTGCAACGCTGCTTGGAAACAATCCACAGCTTTGTTGTAATCGTTCGATAAATTAAACAATATACCTAATCCACACTGTACGTCCGCATCGATTTCATCCGTAGGATTCATTCTTGCGGCTTGAATATACAGATCTTTGACTTCATCATATACTTTGCTAAAAAAAAATGACATGTAAAAAAATATTCCAATATTAAAAATGATTTTTTACTTACTCGTATAATAAAGTAGACACGCTCAAATTCGAATGTTCTTCTTTGTTAAGATTAGGTTCTGAACCTGCAAGATGGTTGTATTTTTCATTCTTCAGTAACCATTCCTTTAATGTTAGACAAGCTTGCTTTTGATAAGACTCATTTGCATAAGAAGCTGCTAATGCCATGAGAGCAACGCTGTTAGATGAATCCAAACACAGACAACGATTTAAAGCAGAGATGGCCAAAGGATCCTGCTCGTTCTCGGCTTGTGTTTTGCCAAGGAGTAGCCAGGCTTCAACGTTATTTTCATCCTGTTGGGCAGCAGCTTCAAAACAGAGTACAGCGCTTGGTAAATCTCCCGCCTCTAATCGTCTCTTGCCTTCTTCCAATGCATTTGGCAAATCTTTCATAGGGTTTGTCTCACAGAAATCATATTCTTTATTAAACGGATCATAATATGTGTCGAATTCTGATACCCACGGGTGCGTGGAGGAGAGTCCATCTGCAGAGATCTTGTCCCATTCGTCTTGAAATCGCTTCCATAATGACTCTATATTTTCTTCTAAAATGTCAATCATTTTTATATTAATAATCACATATTGTATTTAAAGATAAATGTACTTATTTTTATAAAAAGAAATTAAAAATATTACCCGTAACAGGATTTTTCTTTGTAAATTCGTCTACCCATGTACCCGCAGCTTCTAATTCCTCTTCTACTTTATTCAACACTGTATCGTCATTCGACACTGTATTGTCATCGTTGACGAGACTAGTTGCATCATTATCTATAAATTGTTCTATCCATTCTTCGCTTGTACCATTCAGATTTGCCGTTTGACTGGTTTCTATTGGAATGTCACCTTCTTGTGCCATAAATTTCATAAACTTTGAATACGCAAAATTTGGATCGTTGTCCTCCTTAGCTTGCGCGGCTTCATTTTTGTCGGTACCGTCACGTACGGTATTCGTATTACATTCTAGAAAATCTTCTGCCCATTTTGGATCCAGACCATATTGATTAATCCTGTCGAGATCCGCGTCTTTCTCTTGATCTTGAACAGGTAATACAGATTCGTTCCATATATTGTCCGCCTGCAGTTCCTATAATTCATTTACGACAATTAAATACTTTACAATGCTAAAAATAAATATAATTGCACGAAACGATAATAAATTTAATGAAATTACGTCTAGAGTCTTAGATGTAAGGTACGAATTTTCCCAAGCTTTGTCCATGTCGCTCTTTAATTCCTTCATAATCTGCGGCCCAGCTTTTGGAGGATGATTAGCCTGATCGATCTCCCTCATTTCCTGCAGTAGATTGTCCATTCGAAACGTCTGCGGGCAAGCGGACTCCCCCAAGAACTGTTGAACCAACTGATCTGCGTCCGGTACTTGGTAAGCCTCTGCCGAACTGAATGGTTGACGAATTCCTTCCTCCTTGAAGCCATGATCTTGCACATAGTGCGACGTCAAACGTGTCAGGGGACTGGGACCTCCGCAGTCACCTTCCACTAACTCACGAAATGCCATCTTTTTATATCGTTACTGGCTTCCTGCATAGGAAAACAAAACGATTGCTGTTTCATCTTTTTATACACACCCTATAGAAATATTATCTGCCATTTCATCCACGTTAAATATTAAGCGTACATCGAGTCCAACAGTGGACACTTAAGAAACATTTAAACGGAGCAGCAACGTGAAATGTTCTACTTCTTATCTGGTAAATAAAAAGGCCGAACATCTTTATTATGTGCGATATGTAATGCAGAAAGTTATAGCTGTACATAAAAGTGAGGGTCAATGTATTAATACGCATGAAAGGCATAATAGATAGGCAATCGCGAATGCTCCGATTTTGCATTACGTGGAACGGAATCGTTCAATGACAAGAAGATAGCCGCGACCTGGCGCTCGCGGTATCCGAAGTGAGCGCCGATTGTAAGAAGGAACACTTGCCGCGTGCGAAGTTTGGCGTTAGTCAGCCAATTTCGTCGGGGCCGTCCCTGCCCGCCACAGACGCGTAAAAACGACAATTAACGGAATCACCTCGGTCTCGGTGTTTCGTCACCACCCACGTTCTTCCCGTCCTTGTTGTGATACACTCCGAGTTATTGTGACGTGCGTTCCAGAATAGACAGCAAGATTTTGATGATCGAGACTTTGTACCGGAACAACTGGAGGAGGGAGAGGAGTCAGGAGATACGAGGACGAGGACTGGACTCTCGGCACTCTCGCTAATGATCGAACGCGCGCAATAGATCGGCGAGGACGGCGAGAGGGAGAGAAAGAGAAAAGAGAGAAAGAGAGAGAGGGGAAGCGCGAGAGAAAGAGACAGAAGGCGCAAAGAGAAATGCCGGATGAGAGATTTGTTCGTGAATTTTTTCAGGTGAACGCTAACATTCTCCTTCTTCCGACGAGATGCGGAAATACGCCGATTTAAAGGGGGGAAAAAAAAGAAGAAAAAGAAAATATATTAATTAACCTTCCCTTTAATAAAGAACCCGCGCATCGCATTTCCGTAAGGTGCGCCATCTGTACTTCGACGCGCGCGGCGCGAGGTGTGCAGGTTCGCGCTCGCGGCGGGCGATGGAGGGACGATAGGAGCCGCAGGACGCTGATTGGCTCGCCGTTTCGACATACGATACCTGCCTGCGATTCTCGAAATTTTGAACCGCGATATTGCGATTCTCGAAATTACCACTTTCTCCGGTACTCCGGGGTCTCCGGGATGGGACAGTTCGTGTCGTTCGTAACGGGTGCTCCGGGGACTGTCTCGTACGTTTCGCGATCGGTATTGCCCGAAAAGGGCATCGCGGACGCGAAGAGTGATCGCGAGTGTCTTGTGAAGTGCCGTCCGATCGCCGTGACATATAAAACATTGAAGTGTTATCGCCACTATGCTTGGAGTAACGGGATCTCGGGGAGTCGCAGCCTCTGGGTGAGCTGAGAGTTCGGAGCATCTCCTCGTTTCTCGTCACTTTCTCGCCCGGGTGCATCGAAAGCGGGACGAATGCTCGGCCATTAGCAGGTATGTGCATATAATCTATAAAATTGGCAGTGTCATTGATGTGTTGTACGTCTTTGATGAATTGTACGGCGCGGATGCGCTAGAGATCCATCAAGTGAGCTTCGTACGATCGTATCTACGATGGAGTATGTATATATAGTATGTACAAAGTACGCCAACGACCGGTATCGCAAAAAATGTGAAGCATTATCTAATTGTCGCGATTAAGCGTAGATGGTAACGGAAGAAATATGGAGAATATTAACCGTCAGTAAATATTAATCGTAACGTTAATGGTAAAGCGAGTTAATGGCCTATTTACATCGATCTCTTGATACGCGTATCAAATAGTATATTTGAGCTGATCAATCAAACTAATTTACTAGTTATTTACTATTTAATACGCGTATCAAGTGATCGGTTTAAACTAGGCCAATGGGTTAAAACGCACACAAATTATACTTCCATATTATACTATATAAATATTTTTTTTATGCACAGTGAGATATACACAAAATTGCATAAATATTTTTGCATAATATTTTGTAATGCATAAAAATATTTATATAGTATAATATATAATATAGAATAATTTGTGAAAGTACATAATAGTTTATATTTATAACATACTTTATATTTTGCGAAGTTGAATTTTGTTTTTACTTCGAAAATAATTTGGATTGATTAGATAAGAATGTCGGGAAGTAGCATAGTATTTCATGGAAAATTAATTGGATTAAAAATTGACAATCGTGCTAAATATACATAGGGCAATTGTGCGATTACATAATAAAAAGATTAGATGTTTTTTGAGAATAAACCAAGGGGTCTATTTTTAAGGAAAAAGCAATATTTTTGATATTTCATTAGCAATAAATGAATGTATTATAGGTGTTATATATAATTTGACTTCAACTTAAATATCGCCAATTAAGAAGTGAACTTGGTTCATAATTTTCTCCTTAACTCACTTTACCATCATATTCCATACTTCCAACTCTATACTCCATACTTCATATACTCCATACTCTATACTTCATATTCCATACTCTTTTATTTTAATCTTACTACGACACACTTTTCCATTACACTTTTACCTCTTACATCTAATTTATTTAATATCCTTTTCTATCTCCAGCACACATATCCTCTACATTTCCATATATCTAACCCACCCATACCTTCTTACACTCATACTTGACCTCTGAGCAAATAGGTATATAATTAAAAATAAATTGCACATGTTATTTGCGTGCTTTTTGTGCAAATTATTTTTTAAATGATTACTAAATTGGTTTCGTTTTTGCGTTATTATCGCTAACGTCACTCGTATGTCGTTAATCACTCGCATTTATTGATATTTACAACAAGAAAAACTGTATGATATTGCAGATATTAAATACATATAAAAAATCTGCATTTTCCCAAACTTATAAATAGAAATAAAATATCTTGAATACAATAAATCTTCAATACAAGAAATATTGGGCATGTTCTTTGTTGATTAGATATTTTTGCGTTTCTCATAGATGGTTGATTTTTTAAGATGCACAATTTAGCATCACGCATGTGAACATTAAAAAGAGCATAAATAATGCATGCAAATTACAAGTACCAGATCAAAATATAATTGTATAATTATATATTTAATTATATATAATTATGTAATCATATAATATTAAACTAATTACATAATTGTCTGCGTGCACTATGGTTTAATAACACATACGTTTATAAAATAAGCCAGAATAATTATTGCATTCAAATTATATCATTATATTCAGTTATATCACCATCATTTCCATAGCTCTTCTGGAAAATAATTTTTTTGTAGAATCGGTATTATTACTAAATTAAAATGTAATTATTGTCTGACGTGAAGGTCTCAAAATGACGGTATTATTCTTAACAATAAATTAATTATTTCTCATTTATTTTTTTTAATTATTTATTTCGATATTTAATAAAATTACATAATAATGAAGATAAACGTTCTTTATAATTTTCCTATTTGTAATATTTTATAATTTGATCAAGATTGTAATATATTAAAATTGCATTTTGCTTGGTCTTTTGTTTTTGATAGGATTTTATATTAGAATACAAGATATTATTGTCTCATTCTTTTTTTTATATGTACTTATATTAAATAAGAACGTTACAGATAAGTAACATAATTTGTATCAGAAAAATTAATGGTCATAATTTTCACGAAATGAAACTAAAAGTTTTATTTCTACATTTTATTTCAATAGCTGCAATATAAACATTGATCATGTTAATAATTACATAGAAGAGATGTTTCCGAATATATAAGATTCAATAATTTTATAAACGATTAACATTTTCGATTCTTTCCGTGTTTTCTTTGCCAGTTATTTCAGCAGTTGTCGACAACATTATTTATTGACCAGCGTTCTTCTTTCTTAGATCTTCGATAGATTTTGCGACGAGAGTCTCCCACTGATCAGGTTTATTTGTTGTATACCAATCGACTATCAAATCCATCTTCTCCTTTTGTTTCTCAGTACATCTCTTACATTTGGTTTGGAGAGCTTCGCTAAAAATCTCTGAAATTAAAATAAGAAACTTTTATATTGATTTTAATTCGTAATGAGCATAAAGTTTTTTCTCTCCTCTTTTTTTTTCTTTTCCTCTTTATAGCTTTTGTTATAATCAATAAGTATACGAATGGAATATAGAAAAATTAAGTTTTTAGTAAAGAGTATTTTGCTGATATTTACGCAGTTTTTACAAAAAATAAGATTAAAAGCCTCCTCCGTCATATTTTTAAAAAATTAAAAAATCTGTCCGAAAGTTAACGATTATACAAGAATCTCTATGATTGTCCAGAATAATACATAATATTTCTTGTTTTGTGTATATAGGATATCTATATTTCTACTTTCGTTACATTTGAATGATACAATCTTCGAGTAATTTAGTGTCAGTTTTGGGAAAAGTTTAAAATATAATATTATTGTAATAATACATAATATTTCTTGTTTTGTGTATACAGGATATCTATTTCTACTTTCGTTACATTTGAATGATACAATCTTCAAGTAATTTAGTGTCAGTTTTGGGAAAAGTTTAAAATATAATATTATTGTAATATTTTTGTGATTTTTCAATTTTTTAAATTATATATCTTTCTAACTAATTGTAAGTGCCGAATGAAAACTTGCTATTCTCTCGAAATTATCTAAGGAGTATTATTTTGTCATTTTCTTTATTTCTTTAATAAGCAATTGTTAATTATTCTACGTTAATAGACACATCTAGACACTGTTGAGGAATTCTCGATTTCTAATTGATCAAAGGGTCTGTCATAAAAATGTATTCGTTATAACATTCTATAATGCATAAGTATCAATACAATACCTTTAAAGAACTTCGCATCTGCTGTCACGCATGGCGCCGTTCCCATAAAACAATTGTAGTATTGATTTCGCAATTTATCGTTCTGAAGGATACTGTCGGCGTCAATGTCATCATACTGATCAGAATAGAGTTCTTCCGCGAGAACGCACGTCAGTGCAATACCGATCGTCACGATGTAACTTAATCGAGCCATTGTTTCTTCTATTTTCACAACTCGTAAGATATTGAACGATCGGCCGAATGCGCGTCTTATTTATATACTATAAGCATGAGATAAAAAATCGTCATAAGATGACATGCATAGGATGATGATAAAACTGGTAGTACATAATCGTAGATACATCTCTGACAGCAAATGAGAGAAAAACGTGACTGTAATAATTATATATCGTTGAATTATTCAGATAGACCTGGTATGAGACATAAAATTGCGTTTGAATATATGTATATGTATATGGCCAATTAGCAATTGTCTTATGTAAATATTCTTATAATAGGCTTCCAGGTACAGATATGAATTGTCGATTAGTTTCCAGATACATGTTTTTCACAATAATTTTCCTAACTATAGTGTGATGCTATCCGAAGATAACTTTGTACTTATAAAGTTATGTAATGTAATTATTATGAAAAACATGATATTTATTGTAGTAAGAACGCTGAAATTAGAACAGAATTTTAAATTTTGTAGATTTATTGAAGACTACAGCTCTCTTAAGATTATTTTAAAACTTCTTTAAAAAATATGTATATATACATCAAAATAATTTTAAATATTTCCTAAATTCAGGTAAAGAAGTAAGGATTAGATGATGTATATATTGTATACGTATTGAAAATAACACAAAAATTGGTTAATTATATTTGCGATAATTATTATTCTTGCTTGAATTTTTCTTAAATATCTCTGTTAGATGAAACAGTTTATATCTGTGGAAATTATTAAAAACATTTTGTGATACCTCTCTCTACTTGACTTGTTACCTTCGAAGACACTTCGAAGTTCTGAGTTATATATTGCATTGGCAAATAAAAATGTGTAAACATAAAAAAACAATATATATCTTTTATGTGTCAAGTCTCAGGGCTTAGGCTGAGTTTCCACTGAGCGCGTTACGCGTCGAGTCATCCATCGCAATTAAAACATCTTATTTTATTACATTATTTGTGACGGGATGTTTAGATTGGTTAACGACAGACGACGTGACGCGTGACGCGCTCAGTGGAAACTCAGCCTTGGGCAATAAAAATCACAGTCTGAATCACAGAACTAGTTCATTAAACTAGTTACGACGTTGTTTTCTCAATCAACCTGCGTAGTTAAGACTGTGATTTTTATTGCTTATAAGCCCTGAGGCTTGATACGTAAAGATATATTGTTTATATATATATATATATATATATATATATATATATATAAATACATTATTTTAATACTTTTAGATGAAAATCCATTTATTATCACTTCTGTTATCTCATAAATAGAAATTTATAAAAATGTTTCTCTCTATTCTTATATAATCATTTCAATTCTCTATTTTTATGTTATTCCGTATTACGTTTTATCATCATAGAATTTTCAATGTTTTATCTCGTGATTATTGAATTAGAGAACTGTAAATATTCTATGAGAAGAACAAGAATAAGCATTGAAGAAAAATACTTTATGTCAAAATTTAGTCAGCATTTTCAATATAGCACACGAATTAAAATTGTGAATTATGCAGTAAAAAATATCTGAATATAATTTCTAAGGAAAAATTAATTAAATTAGTTAAAAAATATTTTTGTTATCTTTTCTCTTTGCATATTTTTTATTTTAATACATTAAAACAATTGTTCTTACATTAAATATTTTTTTAAATATTACAAACATATTATATATAAATATTGCCAGCATATGTGGTAAAGCACATCTGCCTTTTTTTAGTGTCCGAAGATCTAAAATCTAGAGATCTAAAGAAAGTCTCAAGTCTAATTTTAAATCTAAACCCTAAGCTCCGACAGCACATACCTATATCTACTTTTTCTTTTGTGTGTGTAAGGTGTAAGTTTGTTTGTGTATGTATGTTGTGTATCCCCTCCACCTGCTTTGACGGTGTGAGTAGTCGCGTTCTCATTCTGACTGGCATCACTGCCACTGCCTCCAAGTTTTACGTCATGTTTTATGCAGAATGAAATCCCCTACGTGGGAAAACGTCTGTCTGGTCTGTCAGACTCGCGGGAATAGTTTGTTATCGGAGGCCTGATCTAATCGTTCGTAAGTTTGTAAATATTAGGCCGATAAACCGTGCTAATCGCTCATGCATTAGATATGAGTTTCTACGGTGCTCAGTCTTTCGCAACGTGACGTATTATGAGGCTGCGACGAGAGACTAACCTAAAAGGGACGTTCTTGACGTAACGTAGTCAGTATTATTGTCTCCGATTGCCCACAAAATCTCATTAAACGATGAGCGATGCGTATCAAAGGCCTGCTACTGTTGCTTATCTGCATAGCAGGCAGCAGCATCGTTTTCATCGCTTTCAGCAATCAACGACCTTCCATTCAGACTCTAGTGACGGAGACTCACAAACAGTTGCGGAGCTTCCAGGTATATTATTATTTAGCAAACACTACCGTGTCGTTTATCTTTCCATTAGTTTTACACACAAAAATCTTGCTTCTAGGAAAATTTAAAAGACGTTGAGGAGAAACGTCTAGTGACGGATTCTAAGTACCTTGCGTTGCTTGGTCTGGATGGACAGACAACCACTACGCCGATCAGTCCAAAACCTCATAATGTAACGGTTGTGTCGCTCGTAAGGCCTGGAAACGAGCAATATATTTATGGCTTCGTTAGGAACGTCAGCCATTTTTTGCCAAATAATAGTATTGTAATTTATAGCGTCGGTTTAAACGAAGATTCCTTACAAAGTATTAGACTCGCCTGTAATTCTACAAGATGTAATGTGACTCACTTTGATCTAAATCCTTTTCCTGCTCACGTCGAAGATGACACGCTGCATGTTTATAGACCTTTAGTTATTCAAGTGAGTAGTTGTCCAGGGTGTCTTTATTTAGTTTTACAGAACGACCGTACTAATTGAATAATGCTTTTATGCCGCAGACAGCTTTAAATACGCTAGGTAGTATAATCTATATGGATTCCAATGTACGTCTGAATTCCTCAGACATCGCGAAATATCTTTGTCCAAAATCTGGAATCTTGACTTGGCCTACAAGGCACGCCATTAGTTCACTGACACATCCAAAGATGTACGAATACTTTCATGCCTCTGCTGAGAGCTTCTTCTTTCTCCCACTGATTAGAGCATCACACTTAATAATTAGCAATTTTAAAGATATTAGAGAAAAAGTAATGCTGCCTTGGGTTCAGTGTGCATTGACGAGGGATTGTATCTCCCCCATTGGTAGGTATTCTTTATTTTTATTTTTATATTGATATATTTCCGTATTTTTTTATACTTTGATACTTGCTTTGATAGGAATATGTATGGGAATATGGGAATATCAATTTTTCCTCCGTTTATATTAAAATTTTAATTGAATATTTGTAGGTGCGCAATCGGCGGGCTGTAGATTCAACAAAAAACCACAATATCGGTATTCTGGTTGTCACGCATACGACACCTCCGCGTTAAATATAGTTTTGGGATTGCATTTTAACTTTGATGATACATACTATGTACACAAAGAACGGGAGACGTATTTTAACAAGATCCAGCCCGAGGAAATCACCGAGGAATACCTTATGATTACACGGCAAAACAACGCTACCGAGACCAACGTTAAAAATTTCGTTCAAGAGCGCTAAATCTTTTTTGATCTCAATTTACCTTAGGTAATACGTCGAATAAGCACAACTTAATTTAAGATTGTTAAGCATTGAATTAAATTATAATAAATAGCAGAATGACCAACAAACTTGAAGTTACGTTTCAAGGGCATTAAATGTCTTTTAAAAATCCTGAATCTAATTCTCTCTTCTTTCTTTTCTCTTCCATTCTTTTATCGTTCACAATGACATTCTTGATACAATTGAGTAAAATGATGATACTATATATGTGTTGCAGTCTCATTACATTTATTTATAAGGCACTAAACTGTCTCGACATTTGACATGGTTCATATAATTTATGAATTCGTATACTTTCGATGACATATATTATACTAACACTCGTACTTCTCTTAACAGGGGCCGACCAGAGTTAGTTCAAGCCCTGACAATGAAATTTTTTTTCACAAAATATTCTTACGATTAGTATATGTACAAATACAATAAAATATAACATAGAATACATATATTTTTAAATTATAGAAAGAGCTTTAAGATTCTTCGAAATACACTTATTCTATCTTCGACGTCATAAACAATTTATACGTAACAGGAGATTATCTGACGCGTTATCTTTATTTATATCGGTTTCTCTTCTCTATCGTCGGCCCTCAATACGCATTTCAATCGAACGCAGGAACATATTAAAGTGTGATTGTATTATTACGAGTGCAAAAATATTTTAGAATTTTATGATTTACGCAGTCATGGATTTCTCTTCTTCTTGAAGTCGCTCAATATCAGATTTATTCATGAAGTAGTATGAGGGCTGTCGAGATTTCTGAAAGGCAAGAAAATTAGTTTCTTATTTTATCAGTTATTCGATAGAAATACGTGACCTTACCAGATCTTTAACAATGCGTTTTGCTCCCGCCTTGATCAATATGTTACTCAAGGCTTCCACGGACGGCACGCCCATTGCGTAATGAAGAGCCGTTCTCTCCAACTATAACAAGGAAGATTAATATTCTTATATTTTATGAATGCATAATATTTCTTGTTTTTCTTTTAATTTTGGACACAACAGTCAGTAATTTTCTTAGTTAATGCTAATGATTCATAATAACATTTATAGTTAGAAAATTACATTGCTCAGTTATTTACTCTAACCGATTATAATTCGTGGTATTAAGCCAGTTTTATCTTTTTATTACGCGAGCGTGCTCTTTTCAATGATTCATACATTATCGCCGATGCGTAACGTTTCCGGATACATTTTTGCGATAAACTTGACGAGCCCTTCATCTTCCCGAAGTACGGCGATGTGCAGGGCGCATCGGCCGATCGAGTTCTTTCCAACCGCCAGCAATTTCCCACCCCCATTAGTTTTACTCAATAGTTCCTTCGCACGATCCTCGTCGATGGTCCGAATGGCAGCGTGTACCTCTTCGCGTTGATTCTGGAATACATGTCGGACGATCGCGTTAAAAGTCGTAACACAAAATAACAGTATGTCATTTCTCATTGCTAATTATACATTACTTACCACGTAATTAGGAATTGATTGCAGAAATTGCACAGTGGCTTCGTGCTGTCTTTGCGCGGCCACGTCGATGATGTTTACGCCGTCATCTTCGGCGTCGAGAATATGATCGTAGCCCTCGAGCAGAAGCTCGACCAACTTTTCAGTCTCTCCTGCGTATCGAATTGAGTTCGTATTATAGGTTCTCGTAATTTTTATGTGAGCATAGCTTGTATTTTTTCTTTTCTTACCTCTTGCCGCAAGATAAACAACGAAGCGATCGATCTCCTCGACGTTCTCTCGGATATTCGCCTGTTCGGCAACATCTCTGGCTGTCCGATACAATTCATCCCTGAAACCGACATTGACCTGCGTTTCCAGCAGCAGGTGATACAACCCATCCTTCGAATAGGAACGAACCGCCGCGAAGTGGATCATACTTTGTCCATGTTCGTCCTAAGAAACATCGATTTCAAAAGTTTTGTTCTACGAAAGTTGGGCTATATTTTTGTTCACGTACTCTATTAGGATTGCTAAATGTGGATTCAGGTACGTCCGAATCTGGGCTTCGGGGATAGCCGGCGTCATCGTCGAACGCGTGGTTCTCGACATTACCCAAATTTTCCTCTTCGCGATCGGGTATAATGAGAACGTCGGATTCCTAAAAGTCGAGTGAAGAAAATCAGCGTGAAGCAGTCCAATATTAATGCGACAGCAATGATATTTCACGGCGTTCAATTCTTTTGTCATTCAGACACATACCTGTTCATTGGCTTTATTCTTGCTAGCAAAGTTATATAAATATGTTGCGAGATATGCAATCGGATCTTTTGGACGTGCGTTAGCAACTTCTGTTAATCCTTTAATTAAGGGATCACCAAGTGCTGAAATATAGATGGTCTTGTTACATTAATTTCTATGAAGAATATGATACAACGTACTGTGTACTTACATGATGCTAAGTAACGTCCTTCCTCCGAGCGAAATATTGGAATGTCGACTCCGCTATCATCTGTAAAATAAATCCATTAGATTGTCAGATAATGATTTTAAAAATGTTATTTTAATTAAAAATTCTGTTAAACTAATATTGTTAAACTAGCATGCACGTTATTCGTAGTTAATGCAATCTGTTTTTTACTGAAAACAATTATTGCATTCCTATACAGCATATGTAAATTTTAATAAAGTTTCAGTAAAATTCCAGACAAAGTAATCCTTTGTTTTTTATTTCATTTTAATTATCTCCTATGATTTAGGAATTTATTACATTGATGCAATAATAGTTTTTTTCAGTTTTACCAAAAATATATTATAAAATTATGTGTATTAAACAACAACTCGACAAAACGTGACGGTAATTAATATTACTTTTTACAATACTATACGTATACGTATACATATAGTATATACAATACGTATATAAGCTCAAGTCTAACGTGCAAAAGCATAAGCAAGCACAATTGTATAACAAATACGGTTGATTTGCTGTATCTGAAAAAAGTGCATTGGTGATTATTTGTATAATATGATGAATAATTACAATCGCGCGCAATTGTCAATCAACAGACGTATAAATGTCAATTTTTTTTACCGTCTTATCGATAATTTTCTACTATTGAGTAGAATATCAATTTCTATTTTTTGCTCTTTCATTATAATGAATATTTTATTGAACACAACATTATACAAAATAGGAATAAAAATGTATAGAGTATACATATTTGTACATATTTATAAAAAATACAATTTGACACTTAGACGCCTATTGGTTTATTTGTTAATTAACAAATTCACATTGCGATGCTTACAATTAGAATAAGAGTAAACGAAGGATACATAGGTCCATTTTATATAGAACGAATAACACTGAGTTGGAAAGACGTGTGCTTCGTCATTTTGATTTTGTGTGAACATCGACTCGTGCATTACATTTAGATAAAGAAAAGCTATTGAAAAGACTTTAACATTTTTTAAGCTTGTTGTGCCACCAATATCCGGTCAAGAATTTTAATATATTCGACTTTACATGAAAATAATGTCATGCTTAGAATTATAAATACGAGAATCTATAGATACATAAGGAACGAAATATTTCTTCACGGTTGTAAAATAGTTACGAATCTTTGAGTTGTATAAAACGTTTATTTCGTTGCATTTTCGAGGAGAATTCATGTAAAATCGTTGCTTATACGAGCAATGTTACATTATACAAAAATAATTTTTAAAATTTGCTGAATTATCTCGAAAGAACAAAGATTTACAAAGCACGATTGTGAAACGTTGTGCGATAACGGTGTCGTGTTTATACCAATAATGCTGATCGTTTACTAACCTAATCAGCAATCCTGCGTTCTCGTCACCAGTTAATCCAATTAATAGAGCGACTATGATTATGATTTAGCGTTTTGTAAGAGAGACGCTGGGTGCACGAGAGAAAACAAAATAACGTTCACACATCTTTCCAACGCATTTCTCTTTCTCCCTCTCGCTCATTAATCTCATTAGCCTAAACGTTATTTAAAAAGTTCAGTCTGCGAAGAGTAATTGACGATGAAACATTGGCTGATAATTATCACAGAAGATTTCCATGAATAAGCGTACGTGTTTTTTTTATAGAAAGACTTAAGAGAAGGTAAAGAACGAAGGTTCTCAAAGGCGAACAACGATCATATAGTGTTGTTAAATAAGGAATTAAATTATCGCCTAGAATGTCAATAAATTGAACGTTCTTAATAATCATAATTAATAATCGTGATTCATTATATGTTGAACAGGAATATCTAGTAAATGATGAATCAGTCGTTTCGCTTCTCAGGCTTAAATATGTCTGAGTAGAATTTTTGCTTCGCAAAATTCTCTAGGACAGAGCAGCGATTTTTTTGACAAGTTATTTAAAATACCATTGTATACGAATTATTTTCGATACTACTCGTTTGGCTGCTTTGTCGAGTTTGTTCTTGACAAACTGTTGGTTGGTTGCCGATTTTGTCTATGAAGCAGGCAGAAGATGATTATATTACAGATCATCCTTAAAAACTTAAAATCTAATATTGTCTTCGTAATCGTGACTATCAATTCATCTGTGTCTTGAGATTTCTCGACGCGTTCGCCCGCTTGCGAAATATGCCAGTGATAAGATTGGCGATCTTCATCGAGTTGTTCAACGACAATTCTTTCTCTAGTGTGATGATGTTGTGCACCGCTCTGCAAAAGTCCTGGAGGGTCTGCAGTTCGGTAATGGATAGCGATTGCTGATTGCTGACTCTCACCATATCGCTCTTCACGGTGTCGCGCACGTTCAGGCCACGCACCACGCACAGGTGCCGCAAATTATCAGGCGTTTTCGAAAGTTCAGGGAATCGTACAATGAAGCAGAATCTGATGGTGTTGCCGAGGGTGTGCGGGCGGGCGGTCAGAAAACCTAGTTTCTGATTCCGTTTAAACATCAGCCTCTGGTCGAATATCATCATCAGTTTAGCTACCCTGACGTAAGCCCGACCAACGAGGCCTGGCCGGTTCTCGTTGGTACGACAAATGATCCTCAAGTGATCCTGAATGTTTACCCACGCAGCGAGATCGCCAGCGGTGGTGACGTACACACCGCGCCCGTAAGGCCAGTGCTTGCCGTGAAGACGCCGGTCGTCGTTCGGCTCGAATTCTGTGATCGGCAGCAGTAGACCGGCTGCCGCCAATTGCGCCCGTATTCGGCTGGGTTGATCGAGAATTTCGCTGAGCGTGAAATACGTGCCGGCCTCGTCCTCGCTGCTGCCTTCCGCCAACAGATCAGTTATCTCTGGGCTCATTAGCTGATTGGTGATTTCCCTTTCGACTTCTTCCAGTTGATTGACCGTCAAAGTCAATGGCAGGCTGTAATTAATTAGGTTCCGAGTGCATTCTAAAATACCGGCTTGGATAAATTTGGCGGTCGGGTCTAAATCATATTGTTCGATCGCGATAACGATCGCTTCATCCGGCGGGGCCTCCTCGCCATCTTCGTTGTTGATGTTGAAGAAACGTGGTGGTGGGTGATCGGGTAGGTCGCCGCTCGCGGTTACGCAGTGCAGCTCCCGAATGAAGGGATCGAAGAACTCCGTGAAGACGACGTAACTCTCGAAGTCGGGCGCTACCACGCCGTAACCGTGATCCTCGTCCGCGACACTGCTGATGCTCGAGCGGGCGCTGTTGATCTTGCTGCTGGTGCCCGTGACGGTACCGTACCTTTTCAGAGCAGGCCAGATCACGTCAAAGAGATTGTGATCCATGCGAGTCACACGGTGCTTGATCAAATCGAATACGGGCTGTCTCAGGCAACGAGCGACTAGTGTACCGGCGTTCGACGGTGTCTTCGGTATCGACAATCGTCGGTTGCCCACCAGCAATCGGAAACATCGTTCCAGGGTGGCCAGGATCTCGGGCTCGCTCACATCCCGCCGAGCCGAGTAGATATCACCTCCGGGTACTGTAGATCTCGGCCGAATCAGTAGCAGCGGCGATTGAAAGAATAGCCGGGTTAACAACCATCGGCGTTGAGAGATATAGGTTGACGAGAAAAAGCGAATAAGCAAATTTCGCGATAATGTTAGTAACAATTATCAAAGAGCGAATGTTGGAAAATTGAATTTTAAATGAAATATTTCACTTGAAAAAGTGAAGACATGATAATGATCTTTTGCACATTTAAAATGTTGAAAAGTTCTAAAGGATAACTATTGCGAGATCAAGAATTTTATTTCATTATGATGGAATTGTGAAATAACTAAATCGCCTTACAATTAGAATTCAATTTTTCTTGATCTTACAATAATTATATAACTAATGTATTGGACTTGGAATAAAAGCATATGTAGCGAATTTATATTTCACACCTTAGCTCGATCAACGCGCTGAGGTGTTAAAATGTTGACTTGATCACATGCTATTATGAAAATAATTGAGCAAAGTGTCAAATCAATCCACAAAATCAGAAAGTCAGTAACACTTGTGCTTTCACCAAGTATTTCGACTACGGTTCTTAGTATTCTTACGCGGTGTTTGAGGGATGATCTGATTGCGCTTGTCTAGAAAGATATAAATCGTTCGTGTACGAAACTGGATGTTATAAAATAATTGAATTAACAATGTTTTTGTGTGCGAGCGGGAAACAGTTAATAGATACTTCACGAAATCGCGACACATAGAATATTCGTGCCAAGTGCGACGTTGTCGAAGATCTTTATGAGAATTTAACTTTCAATCAGAACCATCTTTTCGAACATAAAACATGAAGAGTGATATCACGAGAAGGAGTGCCCGGACGGTTTATGTCACGATTTTTTTTTATATGTATATTGCCGATGGTGCTTTAAAATGTCTCAAATCAAGAAATACCTTTATCCGTCAACATTTCGTCGGCGAGCTTCTCGCTAGCCCCGAAATCTCGTAGAAGCTTTTTGTGCGACAGATCGCTTTGATTTTGCTTGTAATAATCCGCCTTTTGTTCGAACTACATGACAAAAGATAAAGTTTTATGGACACTTCGCTTGCAATGGAATAGTTAATTCGTGAGAGAATTATGCGTGTACTTATTAGCATTAAATTAACTTGTCTTTTTTAGAATTCGAACTTTGTTTTAAAATTCCATTATTTAGTCGGAAGGCATAACATTGAATTTGATTCTATTCGTGATCGCAGAATTGCGATAACAATAAAGATCGTAGTAAAATATTATAATAGCACTCACATTATCCTCTACTAAAGGATTGGCACCCAGGTGTAGCAAAAGATTGTAATAATGACCGTTGTCTGCGAGCGTTGCCGCGTAATGCAACGGAGTACGTCCGTCGAGGTCGATTGCGTTGGCGGTTTCTGGAAACCTGCCTGCTAGGTACCTAAATCAGGTATAAAATATTCAACCGAATGGCGTGAGTTGATAGTGCCGGTTTATAAGCCTGTCATTCGAACAAAAGTCTATCGTGATATGGTTGGGATAAATCATGAGCTAGTATCGACGGCAATCGGTTGATTATATAGACGACATTATTGAATACCTTCTTTAATATTTTTATCAGTATCTTCTTTACTATAGAACAACAAGCTACTGACTTTTAAAAGTTGCAGTGTATAGATTATAAATGCGCGGCGCAATTTTTTTCTTATAATCTATCTGCAACTTTTAAAAGTCAGCCTTGTGACGTGATAAATAAGTTAATTAAATACCTGATGACAGCGGTATTTCCGAAGACAACGGCCACGTGCAATGGCGTTGCACCGTGAGGCGACGATTCGTCACGCGCTATCGCGAATTTGCGCCGATCCAATGCGCTTTGCAGATCGCGAAGATTCCCCTCTCGCGCTGCTATGTGCACGGCATGGATTTTTCCCTTATATTACGAAACAATATATTTTATACATAAATATATTATACGTGTCTATGTTCCATTCTTGCGTTCTGTTATCGCGTAGCAATGACATACCATGTAAGCCGGAACGTTATCGATGAAAGCCTGGAGTTCAGGATTTCCGGTCTGTCGTCCGACCAGTCGTCGGCCTTCGCCGTTGAGAACGAGAGCCGCTAATTGTTCCATATTACCGTTCTCCAGCAGACCCTCCACTTCTGAATCCCGGGCCATGCTACACGGAAAAAAAGGCTTGGTTGAATTTACCAAGTTTTTCTTGGTTACGTATATATTGGTAACTACAACCATTGACTTGGTTGCCGTAACCATGTACACTTAGTTAGTTTGACAATTCAAATTTGGTTGGAACTATTGGTGCTTATAACCAACGCAATTGGTTGAAGTAACCAAAAAACTGTATTGCGATTGATCACCCAGAAATTAGTTCTCACAACCAATGACCGTAGCTAGTTTAACCAAGTTCTTGGTGAATTAAAAAGCATGGCTGCACTGCAGTCGAAGACTGAACGTGCTAACGTACGGATGTCGTTGCGTCGTCGTTGACGATTTTTCTCATCGACGTCGTGTGCGGGTTATCGGTCGCGGTGAAACGCGAGCGGTAAGTAGTATAGTAATGCTAATTCGAAGCCATGGTGCTTGCGCGGGGGTACAGGGCCAGGGAATCCCCGCGCCGCTGAGATCCCCCCTTCCCGCCGAGATTTTCTCGCCCTGCACAATGGCTTCGAATTGATATTGCTGTACTGTTGCAGTAAACCCTTCGGCAGTGAGTTTCTCGGTCGTGTCCCGATAACTGCGTGTTCGCGGTATCAGTGTGTGAGGTATCTTGGAGAACGGGAGCGCGGCGGGAATCGCCGACGGACCCGCGAAGTCCTTCATCAACCTAACCTAATCTTCAGCACGCGGCGGCCAGCGGAGAATCTACGTCCCGGATTCCGGCGACGCTCGCGAGCCCCGAGGGGTTCGTCGACTTTTTCCGCGCGCTCGGCGGTCGACTTCATAAATATTGGACACGAATACGCGCCACATACGTACGCCGCCGTCCCGACCGCGAAAGGACGGACGAGGCCGCGAGGGAAGAAATAGGGGAAGTCGCGGCTTGATAGCCGCGGATCGCGCTGAGGTGAATTATGAGCATGCGACGTTCTCCAGCGCGCCGTCATCGTCACCGTCATCATCATCGTCGTGATCACTGTCCCGCGATCGCCGGTTGCTTCGCCGTAATCGAAGACTTTTTCCACAAGTGCATTGACCGCGCGAATCTTCGTCGTCGTCATCGTCATCGTCACCGTCTTCACCGTCGTCGCAGTGCAATGATGGAAGAAAGTGTGGCGGATTTATTGAAAAATTGGGGATTTGAGAAATTTGTCTCAATATTTGAAGGTAAGTTCTGTTGCATTTATACTATTAAATTAGATTTTTAATTAATAAGTTTTGCAAAGCGTGAATTGTCTGCATTGTGTGAAATTTCCATTTATTTTTTCCGTGCATGGCGCACATAATAACCTATATAATAGACTTATCCGGCCAACGTCTGCGTTCGCATCCTTGCACTAGCTAAATCTACAATGTGCTTTTTGCTTCCTGTTTTCTGCTCTTAACTTCTTTGCGATTATCTCGTATTTCGCAATTCCGTTGCGTAACGTGATGTTTCTTGTCTCTTCTAAAGTTGGTCAATTTTTATCTTGGACGACAAAGATAATCGCAAAGATGTTTAGAACACAAAACAAGAAGCAAAGAGCACATTGTATATTTGGCTTATTATTGTTGCCACTTGTCCATGACTGTACTACACTTCTCACAAAAATTAAAGAAACACTAAATTTATCTTTAAAAATAGGCAAAATTTAAGCAGCTGTAACTTTGTTAAAAATAAACAAAATTTAAATTTAAAAAAAAGATTTTGAAGCTTGAAATCTCTATTTTTGAAAGGTTACTATTATCTTTTAGTTTCTGTGAGTTTGATAATTTTTACATATAAAAAACTACGAGTTGGACAAAATAGAAAATTTTTCTCTCACTTTGTAGGCCTGTCACGTTCAAAAAAAAATCTGTGAAAATTTTCGACTTCCTAACGTGAAAGCTTGAAGTTTTTCTTGCAAAATCTTTTTTTAAAACTGTTTCTACGATTTTTTGTTATTAAGTTATCGTGGATACCACAAAATAAGAGAAAAATTTTCTATTTTGTCCAGCTCGTAGTTTTTTATATGTAATTTGAAAAAAATATTGTTGCGCTAGTAATTAACTTGTCTGAAATTATTTTTATTTTGATAGATGAGTCACCAGTCACAATTTTGCATAAGTTTGCTAAACTTTTTGAGCCAGTAATACTGAATGCACGAATTGGCAAATTCAAGACGCGGCCGACTAGAGCAGAAATTGCGGAAGGATTGGTATTGCACGTAAAGGTATGTAAGGTTCTTACATTTTTTAACATTAACCCTTCCAACGTATTTTCTGGTCCTCACATTAGTCCTCCAGCCATGCACTTTCGTATCCCACCGAGATTTTGATTGTTCGCCGTTTCGAGAGTAAATGAGCTAGGACTTTGAAATTTCTACCTGATGTTCCTTACTATAACAACTTTGTTTAGGGGTAGGGGGATTATCTGACAATCATTTGTTTTCCGGAACAAACGATTGTTAGAATCTCATGGGACACGAAAGGGCGGGTTGGAAGGATTAGTGTTAATATGTTGAAACTATTTTTGTCTTCACTACATGTATTTTGAATTTCATCATGTGTTATAGGTTATTGACGATTTGATGCCAGCAATTAACCGCATGCGCTTGAAAGCTGAGCAGCTAAAAACAACATTGCAACCCCTGGCGGCAGTTGTTGGTCTCAAAATATAACTGCATCGTACGTTGCAATAGACGACATTTTATACAAGCTGGACAGTCCATTACGAGCCGTCGATGTCTGCTTTAAGTGCATTCATGCCTTACATGCACAGTACCCAGTGCAAAGTGAACGCCCGTGGTTGGTACTACAGCAGATCATTTATGACATCTACACGCCGTGGGACTCAGATTCCTGTTGTGATACAAATGTGTAAGAAGTTTGCACTCGCGTAATACGAAGTACAATTTTAAAGACTGTTGTATAATATAGATTATAAAGATATAGATATAGATATAGATTATAATATAGATTATAAAGAGTTATATAAACTGCGTTAATTGGTATGTTTAGTCGTTGATAGTCTCCCGTCGGGCTGTATAGATTAGGTTAGGTCCTCATTGCAGATCATTGGTTAAAACACAAGCCGCTAAAATGCCGCATTGCACAGAATGTGGCCTTCTCGTGCTGTCGGTACAAGCTCTTCAGATACACAATACAATTGTGCATAACTTATCTAACTCTGCAGTATTTAGATGTAAAGAAAATGATTGTTTCCGCGATTTTACAACGTGGAATGCATTCAAGAAACATTTACTTTTCGCGCACAGCTGTTTTTTAAAAACTCCATCCCAGGAACGACATTGTATAGAGACCGTTCTAAAGAGCCCGAAATAGGGAATGCAGACTACGATGAACCTATCATTGATGATTCTGCTATTGCAGCACATAAATTTTGGGAATCGCCATCCGATTCTATGCAAAGCGCTAATTCCACATACTCTCGACGGAATATAACGTATACTCTCGCTTTGAAAGAAACTTTTAGATTATTTTTTAGACAGCTGTGCGAGCGAGGACTTGTTTCAAAATTTGAGGTAGGACCTCATAGTCTTATGGACCAAATATGCCTTGAGGAAATTGCAAACTCATTACCGGCTGTAGAATTCCAAATTAATACTTATATCAACGTGCCGTGGGTAATTTCGAAGGGTATTTCGTACAAATTAAATACCTGCCTAGTTCTGAAACTTGATTTGGATGAGATACCTGTTTTCGGCATTATTAAAACAATTATCTGCAGTGAGGATAAAAAAGTAATCGTTCAATGCAACATGTGCACAAACGTTGGATTTAATGAAAACCTTTATTCCTATGAAATAATTAGTACAAATAATTACAAATTCTTTCAACTTGACACATTATTGACTAATTTTCCATGTATTCTGCACCGAATGGCAAGCGGTCAATTATTTGTCACATTAAAATATGTAATTTAAATAAATAAATAAATACTAAATACTTTATAAATATTTTCATAATTATATAGGTAACAACAGAACCCGCAATTAACTAGAAAATTATACATTTTTATGTGAAATATTTTTTATAGCTCAGTTTATCCGTGAAAATATTTTTTCTTATATAATAAGAAAAATATTTTAACGGATAAACTGAGCTACAAAAAATATTTCATATAAAAATGTATAATTTTCTAGTGCTTCGATCTATTAATTTCACCAATACAGATGGTTAAATTAACTACGGCCGTTGGTTGCATCAGTCATAACAGTTGGTTCCATCAACCAACTAACTTGGTAAAATCAACAAAAACAATAGGTTAGAGCAACCAAGTGACGCCTGAGGTTTTACCAATATCTTTTGGATGGTCCAACCAAGTACTATGGTTGCTCCAACTACGGCAGTCTAACCAAGTGCCGTTGGTATATGTAACCAAGATATCAGTTGTCTTATATATAATCAAGGCACTTGGTCGAGGCGACCATTTTTTTGGTTATCTCAACCAAGTCTTTTTTTCCGTGTACCCTCAGTCAATTCTACCTCCGCGGGCTCCTTGTGCTCGCCAACGATGACCTGCTGTTACATTCAGGTACAAAATCATGCGCACGGCTAAAAGACACATAGACGATCGATAGGAGATATTAATCGCATGTGGGAATCCTACATGCGAATCGATCGTATGTCTCTCGCCGCGCCTACGCATACTCTAGGTATGTGTGTATAGCACACAAGGTGTCCGTCTAAAAAAAACATTTAGTAGCTCTCGCTGGCAACTCGAGTCTTACAAATAGACTTTTTTGTCTGAGGAATCGTAAGAATTTATTTTCGGCAAGAATTTATGAACGGCAAATTTTTTCTCAATTTAAAAAGTATTCTTATTGAATTTATTGAATGTAATTACTATTACATTATTATACATAATTTTTACATAATGTTGTAATCCCAGGGACGGACATAGATTGATATATCCCGGCTTCTTCTTTGTATTATACAAGGCGCAGTGCAGTGATCGTGATAATTTAATTAAGGCAATACCTGCTCCTCGTCTTGCGTAGGATCGTCGACGCCGGAATCGCCGGTGCTAGGCTCGTTTCTTTCATCGTGTTCGATGGCGGTTTCGTTATCGGCAGCAGTTTCCTCGATTTTTGGGACTTCTTCGTAGATACCGTCCTCATTAACGGCGGCCTCAGGCCCATCTTCCTCGTCCTTCGTTGGCTCCGCGACAGGTCCAGTTACCACGTCATCGTCCGATGATGCCTTCTCTTCTTGCTCCCCTTCATTCTCATTCGTGGCATTATCCTCGTTATTTTCTGCGGCTTCGTTTTCGTCTCCCAAGTCGTTTGCCTCATCTTCATCTCCATTCTGTGCTTTCTCCTCGTCTACATTCTGTGCTTCCTCCTCGTCTCCATTTGGAGTCTCGGCTTCTTCGTTCTCTTGTTGCTCATCGTCGACTTTCTGTTCCACCAAATCTCCCATCAAATAATCCATCATATCATTGACCTGGAATTACGAACGGGAAACTCTCCCCCCCTCCTCGTGTTGAAGGAGGAAAAAAAAAGAAATTCTCTACTCAAACTGACTACTCATTCCGACTACGACACTACATTTCGACCGGGATGCCATTCTATGTCCGGCTACGCGTGATTTAATGGTGCACTAAATAATTATTACTCAATACGAAAACGTGTATCATACAATAATAAATATATCAAATTCAAGCTAAGACAGGCAGAATGTCGTGCATATATCTTAGACAACGATGACAAATATACCTTCTCGTTCGAGCCGTCCGAATCCTTCATTGTGGATTCGGCGCTACCGAAAGCGCTATCGTCACTGCTAACCTTTTTCATGCCTCGCATAGTTTGCCCTGCGTCCAAGATTCTCCAGTCCCAACTTTTCGGATAAGTATCGGAAACTCGGGGCGCTTCCGGTATCAATGACAAATTCGACAGGTCTACGTCCGAAGGGCGATTCTTGTAAAATGCGGGCGCCTTTTGTCTCTGATTAGCAGCAAAATTTATAGGATATAATTATGGCGGTATCTTATCAATTAATTATCTTCTTCTTTCAATTACAAGTAGCCGACTAGTACTTACATTATCCAGTTTACTTTCGTCGGCTCCGTACTCTGTCAGGAGATCGTACATGACGCCGTCGTCCTTAATCGCAGCTGCATAATGCAACGGAGTTTTTCCTTCGTTGTCCTGAGCTGTTACCGTTGCGGGATGTCTTTCGAGAATTTCACGCGCGACGTCCGTGTATCCCAAACCAGCAGCCTTGCGATGAAAAAGATAAGAGGGATTTTTCTTGCGTCAACTTTCAGCAGTTGAAAAAAATTTATTTTGTACTTTCGTCGAGAGAGCTTACCTTGTGTAGGGTATTTAAGCCGTTGCCGTCCTTGCCTGACAAAACAATGGGCGAAATAGGCTCATCCAATTTCTTCTTGAGACCCTCCAAATCGTTATTAATGACCATCGCGTGGATATCTTTTATTGTACCCTGCCAAAATAATAAAATTTGATAATTTTTTAGCTATCGCGATGTTAATATTTTTAATTTTATAAATAAAAAAATAATTAGAAAATATATGTAATCATTTTATCATCTGTTGACGTACCATAATAAAGGGCACGGCCTCTAGGAATTTTCTTATTCGCGGATTGTTGCTGGTCTCGCATCGAAGTTTGGATCCGTGTCCCTCCCACAACACCTGCTGTAATTTTCCGATGTCTTTGTTGTGTATCCATATCCTGACATTGGAAGGTTTAAAATCCATACCACCTGACCATGAAGAAAGACAACGATTTAGACAATATCGTGGAAATCTCCTGATTTAATTCATACCAAAGAATCTGGAGTATATAGCTTATGTGTTATTATGACAATGGAACCGATAAAAATATAAAGAGTTCTCAACGATTTGACATACAATTAAATCAATCACGAAACATAAATGTAAGACAATTATAATCACCACACTCCTTCTTCGACAAATTTTGAAGATTACTTGACTTAGATGTAATTATATTAAATTGATTTTTATTTGAATAACTGAACAATAAACAGAAAATAAAAATAAATAATCACATAATCGTTGCGATAACATTACGGTATAAAATGGCTTGACCGTCTTTCATGACATCATGACTGTTGTATTTGCATAGTGATGTTTTTACGAAGTACCTTCTTGTGAACGGTATGACTCTTCGAGTTCTACGTACTATTACAAAGACATTAAATATTTGATAATTCTCGAGACAAGAAATCCATGGCTTAATAAAATATTAAATGCCGGCACAATTGCGGAGTGGCACATGTATGTTCTTCATGACGGAGAAATCCCAAATTCTGTTAGAGTGTATGTTCTCTTTATCACGCGGAAACGTTCGAAAATAGAACTGGAGACCTTTGTAAAGACTGATGATATTATTTTCAACAGATTTACTTAATCTAAATCTAATTTTGTTGTAATCTATAATTTCGTAAAAATATAGTTACGTCATATTTGTATCAAAGATTGCTTGCATAATTAAAATGTGAAAGTCGATAGTCAGTATTCTCTTCAAATAACATTCGTAATAGTTCTGTTCGCTACATTCAGGCATACCTATCGTTAAATAAATTAGACGTGATTTGGTTCGATCTATCGATGCGCGCCTTCGATAATAGTTACATGCACGCTACATTAAATATTTTATATCGTCTTGAATACGCGAATGGCGAGCACAAATGCCAGTTAATAAATTTTCTAAGAAGTGGAGCAATGTACGGAGTTTGTTATATTACTGACATGTTTCCGTATGCGCATACAGTGAATATAGACGTTGCGTTACTACCCCGATAAAGAGAACTAGTATTATGCTACCTCTTGTGCCTATTTACAACTCTTTACCTGTCACACTTCGGAGTTTCTAATAAATTATTATTGCATGGTTCAATGATTGAACGAACAAATACGAAAACGATGAGATGACAGTCTATTTTTTGTGACAAAATATAATGATTTAATGAGTAGTTCTAATTGGACTAAGCAACAAATCTCTGATTTTATAGTAAAAGGAAGAATAATTATCCACTGAACTGTTTTTACACACAATGTAACTCTAACTAGCGAAAGATTATTTTTCATTTATTTTATTATTATTTATTATTCAAACAGCAAGTAATTTTAGCTATAAATTGTCTATCGCGAGCAACCTAGTAAGAATTTCTTATGTATAATCGCGTAAGAGAAGAAGACGATCGTTGGAATGTATATTTACAGGAAATTGCTTTGACTTCAATTCTCGAACGTAATTGCTAGCATGGTGGGTACGATCGAAGAATGGAAGATGAGTTCTTATCATTGACTAAATTAGAACTCGGCCTTTGTTACAACGATAGGTCGATCCACGAGCTATTTACGTACGCGAAGTCATTTAACGAGCGGAAAAGTCGTTCCTTCCCTTTTCATAATTATCTTACATTGTAATTTAATCTGTATATTCGCGTCAGCGATGAATATTTAAGACACGTGAAGACGAATACAAAAATTATCGCGTCTGTAATTTTTCGTTTCGATCGTGTTTCTATATCGAGCGCCGCAGTTAGCCTTGCCTTACGAATTTATGTGCTATCGATTCTTCACGGTCATTAGAAACGGATATGTAGGGTATAAGGCGAAGAATCTATATCCGCGAATATAGGAAACAGGCAAAAAACACTATAGTATGCAGCCGGTCACAAGGTTGCCCGTCGAATCGTTCGCGATGTTTCCTCGAAATTGTTTTAACGACTTGCTGGCAAACTAGCGAAATTAATGTAATATTTAAACACGCTTATTTGCGGTATTGAAGTGAGGATACAGTATGTATATCATTTGACAATACAAGACGGCTTTTACTTCGTTAAAGTACTTTACTTATCTACTCGATTCTTATTGTTAGAAAAGGAAAATATCGTGATGTATATCTCGCGTGATGTGTGTAGAGGAAAAGAAAAATATACTTTTCTTTATATCATGCATATATCAAATATTTTTATCTCTTGAAATAAGAATAACGATACTCACTATCTTTTCCAGTACTTTTCCTTCGTCGAGTCGTCATCTCTTGCACTTCGGGTAATTCAATATCCGCGGGGTGTTCTAGGTAATAAGAGGCCGGGTTTCCTTTCTTGTCACATATACTAGCGTCACATCCGCCTTCTATGAGAAGATCCCAAATCGAATCGGGATCTTTACACGCGCAGCAGTAATGCAAAGCTGTTCGTCCCTCCTAAACAATGAAGAATTTTGTATATGAAATATGATCGACTAATCATAAATGGATTTAGATTTTCGAGATTTATGTCTTCGACGAAAGGCAAGGGTGTCGAAAAGAAATGTACGTTGATATATGCTGGATTAGGATTATTTCATTTGTATTCGTGTGTAAGCTGATGGCTGGCGAGGAAAGAACAGGTGGTTTACACTTTGTTATTATCAACGTCACGCGATGCGGGACCAACGTTTTGCTAAAGAAAAGAAGGTATTCGATTATTAGGAGCTTCTTCTCGAATGAGTTGACAAACGCTGCGTTGCGACACGATTCTGTCGTGAAAATAGGCCTCGCGAACCTTGTGAATTATAGAAGATATCGCCAATTGAAGTTTATGCTCGTTAAGGTCCTTGAATAAATTAGCAGATTAAGGCAATCATTATTTTCGGAACAGAGCCATTTAGAAAGAGAGAGGTTCGCTGGATTAGTTTTACGGTCATAAAAATGGCTGTTAAGCATGTTTTTTATTATTAGTTGATGTTTAAGATTCTTTGACTGAAATCGATCGAATATAGACACAGTAGTTTCTTAGGTTTTATTTCTTATTCGTTTTTACGTTTATAGATAGCAATGTTAAAGGAAAGTGACGTACTCTATCTTTCTGTTGTGGAGTAATAGGGTAATTTTCTATGAGCCAAGCAACGATCTCGGGTTGATCGTAGTAGACTGCTTTGTGTATCAAGGGTACCCCACATAAATCCTTCGCGATCGCCAACTTTTTCTTCGACTCCTCAGATATTATTTTCTGCGTTTCAGCTAACGAGCCACGTGCAACAGCATCGTGCACTTGAGAAATCTTCGTCTAAAACAAATCAAACGATTAATTTTTACTGATACGTTCTCTTTTAACGAAATTTTCTTAGTCTGAAAGCAGTTTTTCAGGTAAAGTTTGGTTGTGGCTGTTTTTAAATCTTGTCTAAATCATTATGAATTATTTACCAAATAGTTCGGGAGTCCCTTCAGGAAGACACGAGTTCTAAGATCCTGCGATTGTTCGCCTAACAAGCGAGTGCCCCGACCCTCCAATACGACATTTTCGAGCTTCTCGAGTTCGCCACGATGCAACCAACTTTTTACGGCCGAATGCATTTGAGCCTCTGCAACAGAATGACAATTTCAAAATTTAGAAGATGAATGTTATGAGTATAGAATAATCATGACATAGTTAATTTGTAAAAGTAATAATTCTTGCAGGCACACATTCTATCCTTTATAAAATGTGTAATTGCATTTATTGTTGATAATGGAAATGAGCGTAAAAGTTTTTTAATATGTTTTATAATTTATAAAGGGTCAGCAGACAGATTAACAAACATTTCATCGTTGCTGGTTCCTCTTCGTTATTGATTCGCATGTTCTGCGGCATTCAAACAGATTTTCGCTTGCATATTCATAGTGCTTTATGGATGATTGGCGGGTCAGAATATAATAGCGATATTCATGACACGCGAAACGTGATATTAGTCGAAAGCGCGAATAGACATGCTTTATGTAGTCAGAGAACCTCAATATGTAATTTGTCGAGAGATTATATTCCGACAGATTCTTTTCAATTATTGAAGCATAATTATACAAATTATTCTCGCTATATCGCAAAAGAGCGCATTATACTGCGATGTGGTTTCGGCTATTATATACATCACGATAATGATTTCATTATGCACTATCGTACTGGATCTAGTTGGCTATTCACTCAATACCGTAAACGCGTTCCGTATATCCGGAACATGCTTGGACTTTTCCTCTTGCGAAAGCAATCGGTGAATTCCCTGTTTCTATTTATTCAATGCCAATGCGTGGAATTCAATAGTGGAATAGAATGTAAACTATCGTGGATTCTCTCTCTTTCTCTCTCTCTCTCTCTCTCTCTATACAGTGATTTATGTGTTTCCATTTGCGTTTTTATTTGCATATTCATCTATTAAATTATCGTCTATTATTTTTTTTTAATTACACGCGTTTTTATTATTTTAAACATTGATAAATAATTTCTACTTTTTTTGACGAATATGATATATTCTTAAGTATGAGTGAATACGTTTTTCAGCATTCTATACAATCACGTTTTAAATAATTTTTATATGAAATATTATTTCAAGTATATTATGATTATAAAAATTAGATTGATAATTTTTTGATTTAAGTATATATTTTTTATTTTATAACATGTGGCTTGATTAGCGTTCGCAGGATAATGAATAAAACTTTTCACGTGATTTTATGTGTGAGTCCGAAACAAGTTCCACATATCTTTGTAAAATAGACACAATCATTAACGTTAATTAGCATACGCAGAAAAAAAGAAGTGTCAAAACAAAACTTATATACTCCGTACATACGTAACAATCTATAATCTTCTTATAAAAATTTCAACTTGTTTTTCTTGGTTGAACTATATATGTATTTCAAGATTATAGATTGTTGCGTATATACGAGTATATAAGACTTGATTTAACATTTCTTTTTTTTTTCTGTGCATGACGTCATTTTATACTCTTGCGCTACAAACTATACTCATGAATCTATTTTTCAAATCTAAACAGATTAAGTGTGGGATAAATAGAAATTAAATTGTGCCTTTCAAATTTCAATTACGAATGTCGCGAAAACAATCAATATGATTTTGCAACTCTTGATATGCGTGTAGATCATAGACATGGTGTAGATTTAAAAATTAAAGCTAACCAACAAGATAGATTTGATCACATTAAGCTTTCAATGTTGAAACTTTTGGATATTTGCGCTAAAGCACAGGTAAGGAAGACGTTTCTCGTTTTAATGATTGTTAAAAAATATACGGATTGAAGGATAAAACCCATTAAATCCAATCCGCAGTGCTTTAATGCGGCAGTGCATCAAAAGAAAAACGGTACCTGATCGGCTTTGTTTCGCTCCGGCTTTGTGACCAGCATTTCTGCGTCGATCATACGGACCGTGCGGATCAAACAACGTGCGTAGCAGCGCGTTCTAAAGAGATATGACACACGAGCGTCGCGACGCTGTGACACGAGGAAGCGTCGCGCGTCGAATGAAGCCGACGCTCGGCGTCACGACGCCACCTGTGCGAACCTGCGTTTTGCGAAAAGCTTGTGCTGTTCTGAAGGGTTTTTAAGGAGGATCCCTTGTATTCGTCCTCGCGTCCAATTCGGACGAATGAATAAAAAATTAAGGTCAATCAAGAATTTATGCTAAAATTGCTTTGACAGTCATTGTTGATTTATTTCGACAGAATGGCATTCTTTTACCCGAGACTAGCACTGCGGTCGATCGTCCCGTAAAACGGAATAAGCGGTGCGCCATGTGTTTATCTTTCCCTGCTGCGTCAATAACTGCGTGTCACAGTAACTATAAATTATGTCATAATAATAGAAACACCGTCGTGAAACTTAGAATATGAGAATTTGATAAAATAAAGAGTATTCTAAGCGTTTCTATTACGTTATAATTTTCTAGCAATCAGTATTACATCTTTATCTTGATTAATAAACAGTAAAAGAAAAGAAAACAGTGGATTCAGAAAGATAAATAATTACTAATATTAAAACGCATTACAGATTTGCTTTAGTCAAACTCATTCTTCATGTGATAAGCTGCTAATCAAATAGAGTAATCCCATTACACAGATGACACGCGCTGACATTAATAAAAATGAGCGGCAAGGACAAGAGAATGAATATTCCCTTGATAAAAGAGATATTTTTTTCACAGTAATACGCGTTAGTGCATAATTAAGACTAAATGAAACTTGCGATATTTCACAATAGTAATTGATATTGCAGTGTCTGACGTGATGAAATAATGCAGAAACGAATTCATTACGAGATGTGTTTTTTGTTAATCGAGCAACGTTGTTTGACACGAAAATAACTTTAGTCGATATCTTCGTGAAAGAAAACTTTCAGGGATGACTTTTATCTCTCATTCATCGGCGCTGTCGCAGTAACCCTGACAGGGTGGTCGACTATTAAGGAAACGACTATCGAACTATCATATTTCGTCGCGTTCTAATTTCGTATCCATTTCTCCGTTTTTATATCTTACATTATTTTCTAGTCTTACTTATTTGCTCTCGTATCACAGTGTCGCAATCGATGTTAGTGGGTACGGTGCAATGACACATCGATCATGCTACGGCTTAGGTATCTCCGTGTCGCGCGAACTCTTCAACTGATTTTACTTTTGTTGAAACATACAGTAAATTATAGTAAAGACAATTGAAAGATTGAAAAGCTTGTGACACCAGACGGCCAGTGTACTAACTTATATTTTAACATAACAAACTAGATTGAATTTGTAATGATAAAATAAAAAGCAGAAAAATGTACGTATCATACAACAATGTAGGTATATGTGCTGTATAGTTCTAAAACTATAACAATTTAAAACTACGACAATCACCTTTTTGATCACACTTCCAAGAGAAATAAGATAATATCGAAGTTGCTTTTACAATATCGGGGACAAATATGTCTCGCTTCGCGTATTATTTAAAGAAAAACCCCATTCTCGTTTCTTAATGGGACGTCGATGATTGATAGCACTCTGGTTAATTCGCCACTGTATCGAAAACGTCTCCCTGATTCATCGTATTACATAACAACACCTTTTATCTCGGAACGAAGTAAAACGCGTTCGAAAGCTACGAGCAACTTCATAAGACTGACGATGCATAGTGTTCCACGTGTCCTGTTAACTCAAGTCTTATATTATTTACGAGGGTATAGCTCGAAAGTAGCTTCGGTGCCATAATGCCGCCATGGAAGCGATAATCAAACTTTTTAATGGCCCATCTGGATAGCCGAACATTTATTGTTCCACGTTCAGAACCTCGCGAAAAAGACGTTACGCATGCGTAAATATATTTTTATGAAATATTCCTGACATCATAGAAAGCCATGAGATGTATTGATAAAACAATAATCTATAACTTATAACATAATGTGCGAGCACAATGTAATTTTATTTTTATTATACGATAATCGACTTTTAACGTGGTACAAATAATCGATCCCGTTCAGACATGTTGAAATTTAGAGCAGATGAACTACAATTATGTGTTGCGTAAGGAAGTGTTTCGTATTGCTGGCTATTATGTGCGACATGATCCATTATATGCATGATGGACAATTTACATAGGAGGACAGTATATATGCTGTGCACGGTGATTTCGATTCCTTTTATTTATTAGAATGTATTCGGAAGCGATTGAGTAAATTGTCAAGCGTTAGCAAATTCCGCTCGCCGTTGTATCAAGGTGGGTCAGCTTTAAAAAGAGGACTTGGTCATTCGGCGGTCAGAACGATTATTGCCGCGAGATCGTTACGAGTTGCGTTATTCGATTACGAAAATGTTTGCGATTTTCGTCCTTTTTCTGTTTTCCACGGTTCTCGCTACTGGTAAGCAACTTTACTCTTAACAATTTGACATACCGCTAAGAAATCCTATTTTTAGTGATTAAATTTTTCAAATATTTAATTTTGCTCGAATACTTAAGGCTTATATACAATTAGCATAATTGACTTCAGACAGCAGCTTGAACAGGACGGACTTGAAATGTATGGGACATGCTTTCTACAACGTGTCTCTTTCCGCATATTATCCCGTATTCGGGACAGACGATAAACGTAATCACCTAGACGACCAAGGAAAAATGTTGAATACTCTCCAGGTTCGTAGTTATGACAGACGTAGTGTGGATGCAAAAATGATTTGCGGACTATTCTCTCTACTATGTTAAAATCCGTTTTAGGATTACCTTGACGGTCGCGCTCGTTACGTCACCGTCGCCGGTAATTTGAGGTCTGGTATTCCGTATGGAACGAAAGTGTGCATAGAAAAGTTGAATGAGCAATTCGGCAGACAAATTCACCTGCAGGTGCGTAATCATATCACGTTTTGCTACTCTATATCTTCAAGAGTGTTAAACTCAACATTGAGATATTTATCCATATTGAGAATATAAATAAGAATTAAATAATTTATTTCATCTCAGATAAGGGACCAGGTTGATTACGAAATCAATGACGTCGCACTCGATTTCTCGAGATTGGAAATTTGTGTCAGGACCGAGGAGGATACTTATGATACCTACCTTAATGGCCTTGTTACTGTCCATGTATAATAATCACATAAAAATTATGTATTTGATTGTTATGTATTTGATTGTTAATCGCCAATAATACTGTTATTAATTAATATTTTATATTAAGATATGCTGGTAAAAATGGAATTGAATTAAATCATATTTCTTTATATGTATAAACAAAGACTTTGGTTTATTTTTACAAATATTTACATATTAATTATAGTTTGATAAAGTGATATACACTAGTATGAAATTAATGATGACGAAAATTTTGACGTTTATGGAGTTAAGTACGCTGCGAACATCGTAAATATCCGTATAATTGTCAATCGATTACGAAATCACGTTTACGATCATTCCGATCGCGACTGATAAAAAAGGTTGTCATTATGCATTGTACGTAAAAATTATAATTTATACTTAATTTATGGATTTGCCGACCAATTAGGCCACGATTTTATCATTGTGTAAAGACTGTTTCCGGGACAGTTGGTTGCCCAAGTTTGTAGATGCCCAAGAAGCTTGTAATCATTCTTTATTTTATGGTTTTGTACTCCATGAGCGATCAAGTTAGTTACTGCTTGTACCGCCGCTGCGTTTGGTGTTCGGTCTAATGAGAAGAAAGCACGTTAGAGAAATACACATTACGTACAAACAACACTAATAACAAATCCGTGATTTCTGATATTACTTACCACTGTAATCTCCAATGATGCAAATTCCGATACTTTTCTTATTGTAAGATACAGAATGAGCGCCTTGCTTGTCCCATCCGCGACCCTCGTAAACGTTTCCATCTTCACCGACTAGGAAATTATAGCCAATATCGGCCCAGTTTCTTCTGTTCATGTGATCATTCTTGAAATAAAATTTGATATTTGTAATATGCAGGTATCACATTAAAAATTTATTATTTATTAAAACACAAAATAAAAACAGAAGCAGAAATTCTATTCTATTTAACAGAACGTTGATTCTATTTAGTAGAAAATACACTTGTTATAATATAGAATATTGCGTGATTGAATTGTAAATTCAATTGTTCAAAAATGTGTTGGCCAGAAAAAATTTTGTTTTCTGATCAAGAGACACGGTAGTGTCTCACACCAAGTATACGCGCGAAGAAAGGCACGGTGTAAATTACCTGGAACTGTCTCACTTTTAACTGACATATAGCTTGAGTTTCACAACGGGAGCCAGTCGAATGATGAATAATCACGTAAGGCGCTGGGTTTAATTTCAGATTTAAAGCTGGGGATTTCGGTGCTCTAGCGCCCCATTGCGCTCTAGAAATGATGTTTGGGCTATCTAAAAAAAAGTAATTAAAATTAAAAACCAATGATTATACTTTAATGTAAAAATATAGCAACTTTTAATTAAATTAATTAATTAAAGTTAAATTCTAAAATCTAATTTATTTAAGTAAATTTAGAAAAATTGTCATTTTAATAGACTAATAGAACTTTGAATATAAAACTGTATTGCATATAATTGTTGTTTTCTAGAGCACGAATACAAACAATTATATGTCCACATGCTTTTTATATGTATGTCATCTTTATATTTTACGTGAACAGAATACTTTATATCACTCGGCTAGCAATATTGTTTCTCAAACACGAATTGAATCGCTGAATACTAAGACTGAAATGAGTATTATTATAGGATAATTACATGCATGCCTCTAATTTTTATTTGTTACGAAAATATAAGAATATAAGAAAATATTTATAAAAACAGCGAAGAATAAAAACATTTCTCACTCGCATACATTATCAAAATTATCTTTATTTGTGTTTATCGTATTCTAGTTTGAGGGAGAAATTATTTGAAATGCAAATAATGTCATTGTGATAGCAATTATCTTGGAAATCTTTCTAGATACGAGATATTTTCATAATAATTTGTCATGTCGGTAAATATTTTGCTTTATGCAAATAGATTTAACTGCGACACTTGTTGCGCAAGTAATCATTCAATCGGCAACAATTAGTATTTTTCCACGAATCGTAATATAATAAGTTCTGATTGATCAAGAAAACACGAAGAGAGCCGTTAAAATAGAAAATTCATTTATCAATAGCACTTACTTTTACAATAATTTTATATCTTATCGCGCAATTACTTGCAATTACTATTACGTAAAATAAAAAATTAATTTATATTAACTATCTTTGAAACTAAGAATAAAAATTTTGCTATGTTTACGCAAAACATATTCTTTCACTTTTTACACGCAACTGTGAGAAATATCTCTAAAAATTTTGATGACCACGGAGGCACAAGACGAAATTCACGGCTTAACACCCGGCATAAATAATATATTTAATGAATTACTGGCAGCAGCCTCTTGGGTGACGAGTGTCACGTAGACCGTCGCGAAGATTAATGTCGTCGTCGTCGCGATGTACATTTTGACTTGCAAAACGATACTGATGCTGCATGCGACTTGGCATGTAATATATAACCATTTGATTGAAGATATTGCTTCTGGGACATGATCTTTGTCCACATGGCCTATGATAGATATGTACCCATATACGTGCACATTTGACGTGCTTTCCAAACGGGACTTCCCTACGAGTTTTTATCTGATTTACGAGTGAGGAGGGGGGAAACAAACTAACGGGAATTTTAGCATGGATAATAGTGCGGAAATCATTTAATTGGAATATTAATTTATATATGTTTATTTACATCTATTACGACAAAATTTTTGTAATCCATTAGAATAATTTATTAAATAATTAATTAGGTAACGTTTTTATTAACAACAAATCTCGAAATGGTTGGTAACGGAAAACTTAAATATTTGACATAATTATATATCCAATATATATAATTATTTATTATTGTAATAGTATTATAATACAGATTTATTTTATTGTACACAAATACTATTATATATACAAAACTATCTATTATTAATTAATGACAAATATGAAACAACGCAACGATCACATATATATTTTAAATGCATATGAATAAAAACGATAAATAAGAGATAGCATATGTCGCTAATCATTTGTATTGCTTAAAAAAAAACAGGCTCTCTTAAGGAACACTAACGAGCTAAACGCACATGTTGACCTAATCATATATTATGATGTACATAAAATTAATATTGACAAATGTGTAATATCAAAATTTCTATTTGCTCGCACTTTGATCGAAACTTTGATTAACGTTAGCAACGAAATGCACTACACAAATCTGTAACTCGGGATTCTTATATCTTGCGAGCTCTTTGACCTTTGCTCGAAAAACAATATATGGTAATGACGTTACGATTATGTTACATTACACATGATACCTATTATCTTATCGATTTCACGTGTTCGGCAAAACAGTGTTTTTTAGGGCTTCCCAAGAGATGATTATTCTTCGTGATTTATTAATAAATTGACGTTTTTTTTTTTTCAGATTTACTATCAGGAGATAAAGTTCGTCGTTTTCTGCGCTGCGCTGGCGAGATTGAGAAATGCAGTAAACAGGTCAGTTTTTCAAATGTAATTTTCGCAATTTGCAAAAAACAGTTTTACCGATCGAAAAATCATTTTTTTTGTAAGACATATGTACAATCTTATCGTTTACATTTTCAATATATGTTTACTAACTAAACAATATCCATGAAATCCGCGATCGTAATTTATATGCATTATGGAACAGAGTACCTGAAAAGATTTTATCGGAGTAATCCATGCGAAATTATGTCAGAGATAATCGTGTGCAGCACCGTGATGATATTTCGATCACCATTGTCGCTAATTAAACCCGAAGACCGTGACCTTAGAGCATATATCGTTGTAATGAGCATAGCCATCTAAAAGTACGGCTTGCACGCGAACTAAGGCGACAGTGGCATTGATCTCGTTTGTCGAACTTGCGTGAGAGATATTTGTGACATATTCTCTAGGACAGCTCGTTTGAATTTTTTAACGATATGTCTAAAACACTGCGTATACATAAACTTTGCATTTTCACCTAATGACAGTTTTATCGATGGCGTCTTAACTATTATTACATATATAAGTAGTAACATACATATATATATACATGTATGTATAAGTTAGCGCGGAAAGTCTTAGTATTCGGGGTCATTTTGTACATCGGGGGAATTACCTTCGCGAAACGGAGAAAGTCGTTTTTTTTTATTTAAACGACCGTTCATGACAACGAGAATGTCATGATACCTAATAGCAGAGGTAACAACGGTTATATTCGGTATCTAACATACTGGAAAAACTATTATATATATACGTAATATAAAATTAATCTTCGCTTACTAACAAAAAATAACGTAAGCGAATTTTTAGAAGCTACTGACATAATCACATGCGAATCTATCAAACTCTTTTTATAAATAAAAAAAAAAAAAAATGATAACGAAATATGCGACAGGTTGACATAGGATACGACTGTAAACTGTAAGTATCTTTTCTAATAAGAATAAATAATTTTGCGATACTTACAGTCCTTTGTTACGTCAAATCTTTCTATACTTAGGATTCATCGTAATTGCGGTCTATTTTACAATGACCTAAGAATTCCGTTATAGAGTAGTGTCCGATTTGCTGTTATTCTCTATACGGTGTCGTCCTCTTGCACTATTGGCTTCGTGTCAGTGGAATTACGAGGTTTCGGATGCTCAGTCCAACCGGGAAGATTTTTTACGTACTTGTGAAAAAAGCTGGTGCCAGGGCATTCCGTCGCCTTTGCTTGTCGATGACCAATCACGTTGTAGTTGTTCTTTATCTTGCCAAGTGAAACCCCGCAAGCTATCAGGTCGTTCAACGCCTTTAGAGCAGCCGCATTCGGAAGACGGCCTGCGAAATCATACATTTATGTGCGTCACGCATGAATCCTCTGACGCAGACGTTTTTTTCGTGATACGATAATTCAAGGCATGTTGTTTTACATAAAAAAAGACGAATTTTTCTAAAGTAAAGTCAACTTGAGATAGCACTTTTGAGTAATAATACTAATAATTTTTAGTAGTAATTCTTGATCAATGCAATTTAATATCTCTTAATTGTAGCAAGAGGCTGGTGTGTAACTAAGAATGATTTTCCAACAAAAAAAATTGTCAATTATTTCCAACAATTTTCTCAAAATTATTAATCTTTTTTCGATGAAACGTTATTTAGTCTACGTGTAGCAATAATTAATGTTCTTAATTACCGGTAAAGTTTCCTATGACGCATATGCCGATGCTCTGGGTGTTGTATCCAGGTGCATGCGCGCCAACGCCATCCCAACCACGACCCTCGTAGACGTTGCCGTCTTCGCCAATGAGGAAACTATAGCCAATGTCGCACCAGTTGTGATCGTCTATGTGAAAGTTTTGGTAGGCTCTAACGATCGCGGAGCACGACTCCTGATCGTAACAATATGTATCTGTACCGCCGTGATGGACTACCACGTACGGTACAGGTCTTACTGGCATTATTTCGTAACAGCGACGCTCCCTGGCTTTCCATTCCTTTCGGCTGACGATTCTCGGGCATTCTGGAGAATCGGAAACCCATGCATCCGTTATTTTTAATAAATTACTCTCGAATTAAATTAATTTTCCGAAGACTTAGACGGTCTTAAAAGATCGACGGAAAGATTTAACGTACGTAAACTATATAGCGTGCGTAATTACTATTTAATGCTTTATGAATTCTTGATAATAATAATGTTAAAAAATTACGATTTTCCTGCATCGTCGCGCAGAACACGCAGGTATAAATTGGAGTCAACTAATTAGCCAGCACGTTTTTAGCAATTAGTTGCGCAACTGCAAATGTACTTCTAACGTGCAGAAATTATTTTGTCCTTGAGATACGGTGATAGATTGTCCGATCGGATTCCCGAGTTGTAAAATAATTTCGGCTCAGACTTTGGAAAAACTTTGGAAAAATACTAACTAATTATCGAAGCGCGCGCTTGTCACGAGGAGCGCATAATTGTTCTTTGTTGCTACTGTAACGCATGTTTTATCTCGAACAATTTCACTTTTTCTCGATGCACGTTCGCTCGCACAAATCAACTTATCGACATGATATACGACTTAACAGAACAATTTTGCAGAAAATATTGTAACGCACTTCAAAGATAAAACTGTTACACACGGTTTTCTTTCATAGGAGCACTGTAAACAGGTTTTTGAACTTTAGCATGGCCGATTTATGCATTTTCACGGAGTCGCACAAACCGATACTGTATCATGTTAGCGTATTATTTTTAAACAACTGTTTTAATTTTTAATTAAACATTTTAATTTTATATTAAGCATTGTAACACTGTTGCTAGAAAACCGGACAGTCACTAACTAAATCGCTAACGCCACTGCTTTGTTGCAAATGTAGGTACTTTTAGCAAAAGTTTCGTAGCTGTGAGCCGTGCATTTATTATACTTATCATATCTAAACGTGGACTTCATTATGATGATTAAACATTTTAATTTGCATGCAGGTGACGCATGATAATTGAGTATACGCCTTCGAAAGATTGTAGAGCTTTGTCGAGGTTAAATAAAAATTAATTCGGCGTGGATATTTGCGGATTCGCAATACCTTTTTATTAAAAAAATTAATGCACATAAAAAAATATATGTAAAAAAGCAAGCACTTCTTATTTTTATTGGATAGAAAAAGTATGAGACACCTTTCGAGAGATTCTGCGATTTACGCATACAAGAGCAATCAAAAGAGAACCATTAAAGGTTTGATATAAAAAATCGCAAGAGCGAATAATAGTATTAGGAAAAGTTATATTCTGCTGTAGATTATTTAATATTTATTTTAATTATAAGTAACACAATAAAGAGATTGCTCTTTAAATTTATCATATTTATTATAAATTTTCTTATAAATACACGATCTAATTGCACGGTCTTCCACAATATTACCATTGATGTCACGCAATTTCTTCGACGAGGGAGAATTAATTTTGAGAATATGATATACTTTTTATACCGAAGCCTTTGATTCCCGAGTGGCTTACCGGTTGCATTGATGAAATTCGTGTTGTCAATGGGAATAGCGAGCACCGCGTACTCGAGAAGGAGTACGAACGCGCATAGCGTGGACAATCGGATGAGGTAAGAAGATGACCTCATAGTGATTGACACTGTTACAGCGCGCGTCAAAAATGAAACTGGGTAGCCATCGTGTTGCCGTCTGCTTTTAAACGAAAAACCGGACGATAACTGGGAAGTCCCCTCAGAGGAGTCGTTGAGAAATCAACCCGTTTGGTCCCTTAACCCTATCCCCTCTTCGGCGTGTTTGTCACAACGACTACAATGACAACGTCGACAATGACGACGACTTCAAGGAGGAGATGCTTGTCGCTATAAATTCGTGCAATAACTGCATCGACTGCGATTGCAATCGAAACGCGGAAGGACGTGATATTACGTTGTTTGCGCGATAAGAAATCGAACATGATTGAGATTAATGAGATTGACAAAGTGATTGAGTAACGATAATTTGACGAGAAATTATACTGTGAAAATAATCACATAAAAAAGAAGCATGAGAGACATGTATATATATTGTATATATATATACATATATCAAAATGATAAATATATGCTATTAACATTTATGCGTTTATACGTTGTAAAAAGTTGGAGACAGAAAAGTACTGAAAAAGTTTCATAAAACAAATAACCGAAAAATGTGTAAGATATAAACTCATTGTCTAAAAAAAAATCATCTTTTTCTTCAACTTGAGTGCGGCATTTCTACACTTAAATGCGAGTGAAATGCGTTAAAGTCAGATTTAAGATTATTTCGAAGTCTCGAACTATTATTTATTAATTGATCGGATTTATTATACACGTATATATATATTTTTCTTATTAATACAGTTTAGTACTTTTTCTCTACATGAGCTACTGGTTACGATGAACTTGAGTTGCACAGTTTTATCAAATTGGATCGTGAATTTCCGATAACGGTATCTAGAAGTTACGTAAATTAATCAATATCGCGATAGTAGAATACAGAACACATAAAATGCTATTTAGTGAATCGGTTTTTTAATTATTCTCTCATTTTGACCGCTTCGATCACATCAGCGATCGAGAATTTTTGATAAATAACGTCAGCGCGCAATTTGTTAAAATGCCCATACATTTCTATGAATAATGTGAATAATATTAATGACTTGCTATTTTGCGCGTTTGGATATCTGATCTATAATATCTGACAGATATAATAACATATTTGTCTTCTGATGAAAAAACGATGCATTTTGCACAAACAGAACTACGCTCAAATTGACTCTATCCAATATAAGTATATATGTATGTATATATCGTTGCCTGTGTACATTTGAATGGTAAATTATGCATCAGATATTCTTACAAATCTACATATATGAAGGGTATAGGGAAAAGACGATCAATGTCCGATCCATCCGGAGTAATTTCGAAAAAAAAAACGCAATTTTAAGTTTCAAGACATCAGATATCTTAGGAAGCTATTGAAAAAAATTAGTACAAAATTTAGTGAATATCGGAACGTAGCCTTAATGTTTACATTGTATGTTAGACTCTGATTCCTTTCCTCCTAAGCGCGTGACTATGACCGTTTTTTCCCTGCACGGTACATCTTTCTAATGGTCTTATTTCTAATGAATTGTATTTGTTATTGGAAATGCATTCTTGAGTAAAACAGATAAGATTATGAAAGTTCTTTGAAACATGCCACAAGATAACCATGTTTTTCCCTTGTACCTTTCATATATATAATATTGCTAGTAACTTAATGACACCGAATTTATCGAAATCATCGCTGCAATAATGAAGTAAAAATAATTAAAATAGACGAAAACATTGTTTTGCACTCGACATGACAGACTCGATTTCACTGAGTTACAGTAGACAAAATATGTGTCGACGTAGAAATTTTTATTCTGTATCTGCTCGGAATAATAACCATCAATATATAATGAGGGGATATATCGTGTTGCGAGAGTGTGATTTTGAGATAACGCCTCATTCATGAAAGGCGTCGAATGACTTTTGTTTGCCCGTCATAGTGCGCTGTCATCTAGCTGTCAATTAATTGTTTCCTGCAACTGTTTGTCATTGGCGTAATTCTCGTAACACGCCAAGTTGTTTCTTGAAAGAACTTCTATTTCCTACACATATAACTAAGGATGTAACTAAGGATATATTAACAAACTCATTAATTTAACACTATATGCTATAGAATTAATATCGAGATCCACGAATGCACTGAAGAGTATAATCCTATCCTCGGAAATAGGCGCTAGGTGATGCAGCATGATTGCTGAAGAGAAAAAGTTGAAAAAAAACGGAGTATATACAAATCACTGTCTTAGATAATCGTGATAAAATCGTTAGTCATTGGCGTAGTCGCGAATAATAATGTTATCAAAGCAGTAAAAATTAATTAGAGAACGATAAAACTCGCGAAACGTACGATTACCACTGACTGATTACATGAAAAATATAATTGTAGGATTTATAGGAAAACATCGTGATCAATTGCGATAACTACTTGAACGATAAAATAGTGGTAATCAATGTAACGTGATATGAACCGGACGTCATCCAAGTCATACAATTGAAATATCGAAGCAACGGCCGTATACTTTTTGTAATATAAGAGTGAATAAGAGCGAGACCACCCTATAATAATTTAAAACGAACACACACACACACACACACACACAAATAGTTTAAAAAATGTCTTCAGAAAATTCATCATTTTTCTCCTGAAATTACAAATGATAAAATTATTGTCGAGAATCAATCTTTATCGGGAGCGATATTGATGATTATGTTGATAACCGATTACGTTAATGTTGTTAATGATCGTTTATTCGGAAAATTGTCACATTATCAGGCAATAATCAGGTATAATTGTTATTAGAGAATTTGATCACGTACTACATCATTATAGAAAAGTGGAACGCTACTCTCTCTTTCTCGACTCTTTCTCTCTCTCCCCCAGCTCTCTTTTTCGTAGAAATGAATTGACGCAACACGTTGGTCTTAAATGTATTATCTTGCAACTGTATCAAGATAAAATTCTTTAACAAAGAGCAAACAAACAACAGCAGTTACTATATTTGCATCAATGGAATTGTGATTTAAAACTTTCCTCAATGGATCCACTTAGCATCGAGTTTAACTTGTTCGAGTATTGCATCATAAGATTGTGCTACAATAAGACAGTATTGACATTGTCAGCAAATATATTCTTCATCTTTTATAAACTCCGAAGTATTACATACATATAATGCTACTCTTTAAATTGCTAGTGCTCTCTTAATTGCTAGTGCTAGAAATTGCACGACTATATACCAGGTGTCGCGTTTCTCCAAGCAAGTTCGAGCTCGAGAAGTGGTCCAGCAGTTTTCTGGGTTACCATCGGCTTACCATTACACTGAGAAACGTTAGTTATTGATATATACCCTGTCTAGTATTTTAATTTTACCAGAGACGCGTAGCTTTCTAATTTTACAATTCAAACTTAGCAAACAAATGTTCAAGTTTGGATTTGCGGAAGATGCAGCTGGCACTGCTGAAGGTACGACTAATCATATTTTTGGGATAAGTCTAGAGACACACGTGCCTGTTCGTAATTTGAGGTTAGAGCGGTTAGAGCATTGTGAAACTGTTTTCCCGCGAATATTCAACTTTGTATCTTTCAATTTTTACGAACTATGCACGCTATGCACGCGCAAAGGAGTTATTTATTTTATTTAAATAATTTTAGGGGATAGCGAACAGAAGCAGAAATTAGAATGGATTTCCGCTACAAAACTCGAAATAACGCCCGAACAAATCGGAGCAAGGTATCAGGCTGATTATTATGCAGAAACTGAAGTGTTTCCTGGTTGCACTCTAAAGTTAATTCGCTCTGATAAAGTAACACAGGATTTATCAGATCAAAATTATCAGAATATCATTGAGGCCGAGTCGAAACATTCCGATCTCATTCCAGCGAAATACGAAGGTGATTTTTGTTAATTAAAATTTGTTTAAAGCTTTCTTAGGCTACTTTACTGACAATTTAAATTTTATTCGAAGTCCCGAAATTTCATTAATACACGCGTTAAAAATTTGTTGTGCAATAAGGCGGGTTAAAAATCTGGGAATGCACGTTCGATTTGGGTCAGTATATACTGGAGAAGGAGATCGAGTTAAAAGACAAACTCGTCATGGATCTTGGATGCGGTTCTGGATTGATTGGGCTTCTATCTCTTCGCAAAAATTCCGTGGTCCATTTTCAAGATTACGTTCGTATGATTTGTGATTGTCACTCTGAAAAGTGGGCCGCGATTAACGATAACAATTTTTTGTAGAACGAGGAAGTGCTAAGATCCGTGACCATTCCGAACGTGCTATTGAATTTTGACGATCGTACGATTGTACTGACGAAATGTGAATTTTATGCCGGGGATTGGGCTTCTCTCGCGACGTTACTCGACGAAAATAAGAAGTACGATTATATCTTTACGAGCGAAACGATATACAATTCGGACAATCATAAAAAATTGTACGAGATTTTTAAGACAAAGTTAAAAGACGACGGCGCTGTGTGAGTACATTGGATTACTGATGCCTCATTTTTATATCAAAACTTAAGTTTAGAAACGGGTGATTTCTATTAGATTTGTCGCTGGGAAAACCTACTATTTTGGCGTGGGTGGTGGAATGAGACAGTTTGAGAATCTCATCTTGAAGGACGGATGCTTCGACGTCAAATCGGTGTGGAGAAGTCAAGATGGTGATTAACAATTAATTTTAAATATATTTCTCTTTCGATATTCGACGATATCGACTGTATATATTTTAGGCGTAAACAGAGAAATCCTGAAGCTCACGAGAAAACCCCACGAAAAATATCACATGTCTGGTGAATAATATTATTGTCTTCGTAAAAATATGAGGTATCGGCTCGGAATGTTGCAATAATCAACAATAGCGATTCTTCCGCAGCAAGATTTGCTCGACTGTTTTCTCTTCTTGTGTACGCAAAGCTCATTAACTTGGTCAATAAATGTTTTTCTATGGCGAAAGTCTTTCGTAAACCCATCCGTCCTCTCCTTGATGCAAGAGAATATTGTCTATTTTCTCGTCCGCTTTTGGACGTCTGAAACGGATTCTGTCGTGAAGACGATCGCTCTGACCTTGCCAGAATTCTACGGAATGTGGCACGACGAGATAACCGCCCCTGAAATAGAACATCTGATATAATGAACGATCTTTACAAATAAACGATGATCTAAATTTGGAAATTATACACGTGGCAGATGCACGACGCTATTAATTCACGGTTAGGTCAGCGATATTAAATGTATTAGTGTTGCTAAACGAAGCGAGAGTGTATGGCAGTGTGCCATCGCACGTGACTATTAATCTTCTTTGCTTTTATACGTGTTTCTCGTGTAAGAAACCTTTATATTCGAAATAATTAATTAGAAAAACGGTCAATGTTTTACACGCGCATATATAAATGATTTACTAATAATATATTAATTATTTTTTAATTATACTTACCAGTGG